AGTCTATGTTTTATACTGTTTTTTCTTTTTCTTTTATTTTATTTTCTGTTTTTACATGTTATTTTTACTTTTTGTGTTCTATTTTATTTGTTGTAATTTTTGTTAAAAAATTTTTTTGAGTGCTCCTCACACTATTGTATTAATATATTTTGCTTTGGCTTTATTAATACAATATCAGAAAGCACTCTGTTTTGCGGATATAATCGTGTGGGCTGATGAAAAGATTATATCTTTTTTTCGGTTTTTTTAAATAAAATTTCATCCTTTATTTATTTTTTTACTTTTTTTTAAACTGTTGTTTGTTATTTTTTTACTTATTCCCCCCCCCCTTTTTTTCATATGTCTAGAATTTTTCTTTGTTTTATCTTCATTTTGAACTTACTTATATATATATATATATATATACATAAAACCACTGGGTGCACTTTCATAATAGTCACCTGAGACAAAGCGTTCAATAAATTGTAACTTGGACAATGTTGGTCAATTTTATCATGTAAAAGACAATGAAAAAAAGAACAAACAAACATATTTTCTGTTTGTATACCTTTACGCTATCTAAAAATATAATTCGATTTACCGTCGTTGGTCAGAATGTTTGATTACAAAGAAAAATAAGAGATTCAATTCAAGCAATCTTTAGGGCAGTTTCGTGGTATGCAAGCACCTATTACTGAGTTGAGTTTCATGATCGGATTTTGAAAAACCCTAAAAATATCCTACATTGTGCAAAAAAGGAAAAAATTGCTAAAAACTAACATGTATCATTTTTATGTGATAATTAAAAAAATAATTAAGTGTAATTAATTGAATTTTGAAATAAAATTTATTGCATTTGAGTTTACTTGCCTGAGATACAGTATTTAAGAAAAAAATCGCATTATCTCCTATTATTTAACCCTTTATAAAGCTTTGGTAAGTATACTTATCACGAACTTCAAATTTTAAATGACTATGAGAAACTATTTTCATACCTATGGTTGGTTCGACCATCTGCAGGTCAATTCAGGGAATACAAAGAAGGGAAAAAAACAATGAAGGGTTTTCGTTACATAAATGCGAGTAACAATAAAGGTTAGAGTGCACTTGAAAAACATTTTTAAAATTTATATTTTAACATTTAAATATAAATCTAACTTAAAAGTATCTTTATCATGCTTCCAGCTTACCTTGCGTTGAAGATACTACAACGAAGATTAACAAAGCAATTATTATGCGTGGAATCATTGTCTACAATTGATTTCTTAACTTACAATTGAGTTAATATTTCGAAAATAGCAAATAATGTTTTGCCTTAACAAGCATTAAATGAGGAAGTCTACAAAGGGGTATATCAGCAACCGGAAATCAATAAAAATGTCTAGATAAAAGACTCTTAACACAAATAAAAAAAAAGCTTTACTACTTATACATTTTATCTCACGAAAATGCCATTTTTTCTACAGCAAGTCAAGACATTGGGCATTTTTAATAAAGACTGAATTACATGATAAATAGTTTAAAAAATTTACCATTAATATCAAACTGTACTTTTTTTATTTTATTGAAAGTTATAAAATAGGGCACACGGAGAAATTTTTTATGTACCAATTTCGTTGGTTTCGCGGGAAAAGCTTTTCAAAATTATATTTAAACGGTCCCTTGTAAAGTATAAAGTAACGTTTTCGAGAAAGAATTCAATTTTTGACTATCATTATGTTTTAATAGTTCTGTAATGCAAAATATACGGCACCAGAGATAGATTCACTTAGAAACTAGTCCAGAAAAAAAAAAGACTTAATATTGACAATTCGTAAAATTAATTTTTAAAGAATCCCTCTGAAACGTAAAATTTTGAAACACCTTTTAATAAATATAAAAAAAATACTATTATACACTATTACTATAAAATTACGATTAATAATAATAATTTACGATTAATGATAATGAAAATTACTATTATTTACTATTACTGTAAAATTACTATCAATAATAATAAGAAGAAATTACTCTATTACTGCAATTTTTTGAAAGAAATGACAACTCGAATGTAAAGTGATAATGCATTTAAAAAAGACACGCGTAGAAAATTTTGAAAAAGAAAATTGTATTTCTGGCCGTCATTTTTGGAAAAAGTTCACCGATGCAAAGTGTTTGATACGATTTCAGATTGACAGACGTAGGAAACATATACTAACACAATTTCTTAAATATTTCAGCACGGTCCTTAAAAATTAACAATTCTTAGCAATTTTGAAATAAAGAATTTTCTTGTGAAATTGTGATACCAATGTACGATCATACTAACTATTGCGACTTTACTAACTTTAATATTATTTTATTTGTTTTGAACTAAATTTAGAAAAACGTGCATGGTGGATGATGTACGAGATCTCTCTTTCTCTGAAAACTCAAGACCCTAACACTGACTGCATCATCGATTATTATCACATTTATTTAAGAACTAAACATGAATGAAATTCCCATTGCATCAATAATTTGTCTCTCTCTCTATTAAAACATTGTGAACGATGCCGCCGCTGAGCTGAGTGCTCAACTTTACGGTAAATTTGTTTTGCTGAGGAAAAACTATAACAGGGGTGGCGAACTTTTATACACCAACGTGCCAATTTTTCTATAAATTTATTTAATGAGGTCATAGACGTGCCGTCAAATAATTTTGACTTCGTGATTATTGGGAAAATAATACTTTGTTTTTAAAATTGCAAGTTTAAAATCTATTTGGCACCTTGGCGATTGTAGTTGGCTCACCAGAACAATACTCAGCTCAATTACTCTAACAATAAGACTTCACTGNCCCTGAACTATAACATCCAAAAACCCGAAATTGAGACTAAGTGTAGAAAAATGTGCCAGCAGTACGATAGAATAAAAAAAAAGATTAATCTTTGATAATTATGCCAAGAATTATTAACTGATAAACTTGTAGTATAAAATACCATGAGGAATGCAGAGCAACTACAAGTTACAATTTTAAGTACTGAAAGGGCTATTTATATTTATAAATTTTTTTCGAAATTGTTGCAAAAATTGTCAATTGTTGCAATTGTTCAAGTCAATTGTTCAAAAATTGTTGCATTTTTAAGTGCCTTTTTCGTAAATTTTTTATCGTTTTTTTATCTCTAGATTGAAAGAACGTTAACAAAGCCGACGCTGTTTTGAGTGTTCAGCTTTACATTACATTTTATTTTGCTGCGCAAAAATTATATCACTTAGAAACTTAAAAATACGAATATGAGCAGAAAAATATACTGGCATTACAGCGGGATAAAAAAATCTAACAATTAATAATTAGTTCGAGAATCATTAATCGTTAAACTTGCACTAAAAATACCACGTAGGCTGGTCTTTAGCCTGCATTCATGCAAAGGTGGACTTTGGCGTACCGAATGAGATATTTTTGTTTATGAGGTTAACAGAGTTTTTTTTTATTATTATTATTCCAAATTGTGTGATCGAAAAATATTGCAATTTAAAGTGCTTTTTTGCGAATTTTTCGCACTTTTTTGGTTTACATAACTTAACGTTACATTATGTTTCGCTGCACAAAAACTACCTAACTTGGAAACTTGAAATTCGATGGGGTACAAGAAATGGAACGGGAATATAATAGAATAAAAACGATAAAACGAGAGTTTAATAGAATAAAAAATATAATAGAAATTAAAAAAAACACTCTATACTTAGTTCGAAAAGTTGAATGTCAAAATCGAAGTAAAAAATGTAATACAGTAGGGTACTTAACAACGCAGAAATGCAATTTGAGTTGAAAAAGCTGTGCAGATTTTATTTATAATTTTAACCGATGAATACTGATATCTGCATGGCCGTGCAACATACAAATTCATTCATGTTTTAGTATGATGTGATCTACATGCTAACAACTTTTCGACCATAGAATCATAACCACAAAGGATAAGAATCTGGGAGATCATGCAACACCCTCTAGAAGGGAGAAGGCCCCTGTACGGATCAACTTAGTAGGCAGACGAAAAAAGATAAATTGTACAGTGGGGAAAAAATAAGAGATGTCACAACGTTCGGACTACTAAGGGATCAGATTTCTCGTTTATTGTAACCCATGCAAAGCCTTTCTCACTTCCAGGTGTTGGGTTACATCAATTTTTATTCAATCAGGCAATTCAAAATGTTTCACAATTACAGAGTAGCAAAAAATATAGGGATCATTTTTGAAAGTTTTTATTTCCAAAATTTATTACATAAATTCAGCGATGCTTCTCAATATGTCGACCTCCTGGCATAATGGATTCGTCTACAACGCTTCTTCCATGATTTTAAAGCCCGCAAAATGATTTCCTAGGGGATTTTCTTCATCTCTTCTCTAATAGCTTTTTGAACGCCTCTCATAGAAATTCCTCGCTTATTCAGTTTGTTTTTCAGATGTTCCCATAGGAAATAGTCGCATGGTGCAGCATCAGGACTGTTTGGAATCCACTGTTCTGGTCTCAGGAATTGCACTTGCTGATCTGGGTGACCTTAGATGCATGCGATGGGACAGAGTCCTGATGGAACACAGCATCAACATTAGGGTATAATCTGCAGTAATCATCCTTAAGAAAGGGCTTTAATATCTTCTGTATGTAATACTCAGAATTTATTTTGGCCCCAGGCTTCACAAACCGAGGTTTGGTCACACCATGGGCGGATATGCCCATCCAAATTATTACGCCTTTGGGATGAGGCACCGTGGTTGATGGTGTCAAGTCTCGCCTGTTCTGCCCACGGCTAAGATATTGAACTTTAGATTTAGCATTGGTATTAGATAGATAGATCCAAGCTTCATCAGTTGTAATGAACTTTCGCCATCTGTCCTTACGGAGAAGCTTGTAAAGGGGCCATGAACGTTGCCTCCTTATTTGCACCGATCTCTCACTTAAATGATGACATTTAGGTTTTGTATGGCATTTTTTCGTCAACTTTAGTTTTAGTTGATTGCTTACAACTTGCTGACTCACGTTAAGAGCTTTAGCCATGCTTACCTGTGTTGGTGGGTCCGGTTTTGATGTCATCTTATCAAGCTTCGGCAAATCTGATTTCTTCAATTTGCTTGACCGTCCACTTCTTTTTGGTTTTGCATTATTTTGTAACGATCCAAGTTTTGAATTCTTGATACGACTGACATGGCTGAGTGAAATCGCAATACCTTTCTTTTTAAAATGGGTTTGTATAATCCTGTGGCTCCATCGAAGTTCCAAAAATGCTTGTACTTGACCAATTAGCTTTTTGTCAAATTTCTTCAAAGGCATTTTTGTGATTTTATGAAATAGTATTGCAATTGAAAGTCTAATAGCAGAGCTTTAGATCAGTATGCTATATATGTAAAAAGGTTTTAAAACTTTAGAAGTAGATAACCACAAAAGTGATCCCTATACTTTTTTGTTACCCTGTAATGTGCGGTAACATAAAATGAATTAGGGATTTAATGATTACTTTAAGCATTTTGCTAAATCAAATGGCTTAATGTCAATGGTGGCATTTTGCTAAAAAAAAAGTTCAACACCTATTTCTGATTGATTTTCCTGGGGTCAATATATTGGAATGAACGACACAGTGCAAACGTTGTTATGGGTGTTAAAAGTGTTAAAATAGTATGGTGTCTATGGGATAGCAAACAAGACTCTAAGCCTAGGTGGTTAATTGGGGGGTCATACGAGAAAACATAGACCAGACACGGTTTTTCTAAAGAGGAAACATTTATGATTCCTTTTTTAAAAGATTTTGCAATGCTAAATCGGTTAAAAGTAAAAATAAATTATCATCTTAAGTGGGTGGTTTGATCAATGGCAAATAAATGTGTGAAAATATAATCAATTTATCAAATGATTGTTCTTAATGCTAAGTTTGATTTCATAAAGGGTAAAAATATTTTGAATAAGAAATTAACTTAAATGAAAGAGTAAATGTTATAAAAATAAATTTTAATGAACAATTATAAAACAATTTCAATGCAACAGCATTTAAATTAAAAAGCATATTCTTTTTGCTGATGTTATCTTCGAACAAATTTATAAATGGAATGCTAATTTATACTGAAATTTAGGTAATTAGGATATTAACTTAAATCTGAAATAGACAAATGAAGTTAAAAAATAGTTTTATTTTAAAAAACAGTTATACAACAATTTATACATAACAAATTCTAAATTTAAAAAAAAAAAAACATATTTCAGTTCCTCTTATTATTATTGTTTATTTACTAATATATTGATAACAGGATTACTTGATAATTTGACTATTTATTTTGATTTGATTTCAGAGAGTAAAAACATATTTCATCCATTTATTAATTATAAGATAAATGCTTTTGGAAAAATAACTATGTTCCATAATTACTTCAAAAGTTTTTTTAAAAAATTTTCTTATTTTCATGTAAAAGAAACGAATTAACAGTAAGATATGAAATTTATTAATGTTTGTAAATGTTGGTGGGGGAAAAAACAACCACAACAGCTTTAATTATCAAATATATTGATGATTGATCTTTTTGTATTCAAATTCAACTTCCGTTCTTTCAGAAATTTTTCCAATGAGAAAACATTTTTCATCAAGTTATTTAATTTTAGGTATATACTTTCAAAGGAAAAAAACTGCAGTCTTTAATTATTTCAGAACATTTAAAAAAAACTTTAATTTTCAGGCAAATGAAGAAAAAAATTTCATTAAATAACTCTGAACTAGTTACGTTTTACTTGAAAATTGTTTGTAGAACATAATTTATAACAATTAAATAATTCTGTTTTAAATGAATAATTGCAGTACAACTACATAAAAAAATTTTAAAAAATTATTTTTTTTTAAAAATATATAAAATTGATTTATTCTTTTTCAAAAATAGCAACAAAAAAAAGTTTTTTAATACTCAAAGGGTGTTTTGTCCAAAATTCATTTGATATTTATCAATTGAAACTTGAAGAATACTCTAGTGTGGATTTCATTAGCGTGCTTATAATATGATATGAGCCCAATGTTAATTACAAAAAAGTGAATTTCTAAACAATATGGAACACTGGTCATTCAAATATAGAATTCATCACATAAACGAAACAAATCTTTAACAATTACAAAGAACACTTGAAGTACTTATTTAATTGGATACACTTGAAGTACTTATTTAATTGGGTACACTTAAAGAATGAAGAAATTATGATTGATTTTTAATTCTCAGACACATTAAATTTTCAAATCACAAATCTCAAAAACAAGCACAAAATATTTACAAACACACTAAAATACAATTACATCTTAAATATATCACAATAAGAAATGCATACATTGATAGGAACTAAAAAAAAATACAGCTTTTTCTCTAAGTGTATGATATATATGATGATGAAATCAGAATGATGAAATTTCAAAAAAAATAATAATAAATTTTCTTAGTAATACAAAATCCATGATACATGAATTTATTGATGCATCAACTTATTTTGATATGCTAATATAGACAATATCTACTTTTTGTACTTATGTAAAAGTAAGCACTTTTTTATTTACGAATGTTGGGGCATTATGTAAGTTGTTTTCAACATTAAAAAAGATCATTTTTTAATTGTAACAAATGGAATGAACAGGAATATATTAAAGTGCAACAAAACATACTACAAAAAAAAATTACAAAATATTTAAATAATAGTTTGTTTTTTTTTCCATAACTAAAATCAAAAAAGAAATATCAACATCATTGTATTTAAAAGTAATAGTAAGTAAATATAATTACTTTTAGTTTGCAAATACAATCTTAAGAGAAATTCTTATTCTCAGAAAAACTTAATGTTAAAATAGATACAAAGCAGAATCATCAAGACTTACAGTAAATTGAATACTCCTAAACTAAATGAAGGAGCACAAACAAAAAGTATTACAATAGTTTGGACCACTTTCTTGTCTTAAAACTTAATAGATCGTAAAAAATTAAAAATCTTAAGCATCATGTCATGAGACTTTTGATAATGATTGAAGTAGCTTTCCTTTAAAATTATACAATATTGTAGTATAATTGTTGTTTTCACTAAAAATCAACAGTTTTTTCCAAAAATACAAATTTAATTCTTATAAAGATTGTTTTCAATTTTAAGTATTCTATACAAGGTTGAGGAAAGGAACATTTTTTTAAACGAAAGTTGCAGTTTATTTCTTTATATCTATATAAAAACTGTAGTGTTTGAAATGTCTTCAAAATATTAAAAAAAGACTCTTTGTGCCTTGAGGAAGGGTCCTACAATAAATTTGGTCCTGGAGCACATAAGACTTTCGTTCAGCCTTGATTGTACATATATAATTTACATTTAAAATTACTATTTATTTATACTAAAGATAAATATAAAATACTGAAAATAAAAAAAAGCTTTCAAATTCTTAAAAGTTTCGGATTTGTTCTCTCTTTTGCAAAATTCTACAAATATATTAATAACAACACACTGCAAACACTTTCTTATAAAAATAATTTCTAAGGAATAGATTGTAATATTTTTTTACTTAATTTGTAAATGAAACTTGATATGAACATTGGGAGCATTACATTACATCATTATAAAAAACTATTAAAACTAAGAAGAAAAAAAAGTTTTTTTTTAAAAAAATTTTATAATTAATGGAAAGATAAAATTTACTTGAGTAAACAATAAAAATTAGATCTAAAAACCTTAAAAAATATGGTTTTTAAGGATAATATGAGTTAAAATTTTTTTGTATGTATTTCAATTACAAATAGGAAAGAAACATCTTATATTAGCAAACATCTATTGCAATAGACAAATTTAGCAATTTTACATGTAAAAAATTAATAACTTTTAAACATATAAAAACCTTAAACGACCATTATTTTTTCATACACCATTCCCTCCTATTTTATACTTACGCAAATAAGTATAATGATATCACAATTATGATAAGTTATCACAAAAAGCTAAGTACTTTGCAACTAAATTATATGCAACAACACAATAATGTTGCTTATTTTAAAAGAATGAAAGCAATATGTACAAATGTATGAGTAAATATCACAAATATAACTTAAAAATTTTTACAAAAATATTATTCCTATATCAATTTCTATATAGAGAAAGAATGAGTTCTCTGATACTAAAATACATTATCTGCATTTGGATTTAAAAGCCACTATAAAATTTAGTTTTCACAATAAATAGGAAACACAAAAGAATATATCAGATGAATGCTTCTAATAAAATATGTAAAAATCACAAATAAAAGTTGACATCATTATCAAAAATATTTATCAAACAGCTCATCAATTTCTGAATATTCATAGAAATGATGTTCACTACATAAATTTTATTGGGATTTAAAAGCCACTGGAAGATCTATTTTTCACACTAAATTAGGAACTCAAAAAGACATTTTAGATGAACGTCTTAAAAACTATATCACAACACACACAAAAAAAAGATAAGAACAAAAGAAAAATATTTTACCAACATTCGAATTTCGTAGATAAATGTGAAACAATTTTGCATCATTTTTAATTTCATCAAATTTTATGATTGACAAAATAATATACAAAATGCATTTAAAAATTTTGGTGTAAGGCTGGATAACTTTTCTGAAAATCAAGAAAAAGTAAACTTGGGTACTTTTTAAAATTATGTATTAAGTTCCAGAGTGAAGCTTGACTTATAGCTAAAAGTCATGGATTCAGTTATGAAGACTGACTAAAGATTTAAAGCAAGTGTGACGTGAAATTGTTAGTTCTGAAAGAACTCCATTTGCTACACAAAGCAAGAAAGAAAGGGTATTAATTACATCAGGAGCCAATGACATTGAATGATCAAGATTAAATTACATGGCATTACCATTACCAAACAGTTTCAAGAAAAAGTGTTTAACTGTGCATTTTTGTACAGAATGTCTCCAAAAGCATCTCTTATCAATACACCCAATAATTAGTTTTTAAATACCTTGCACGGGATCCAAAAAATTTATACTACAATCAATATAAAAGTATGATTTAGATTTGTGCAAAGTATCAGGTCTAAGATTTTGATACGGCATGTGAAGTAAAGTGAATAAATGAGGATGATTGTAAATAAATGGCGTCTCTTACGTTTCAAATTCGAACATAGGGTCAAGATAAACTATATGGGTAATAGATCCATGCAACTTGAACACACACTTTAATAAACAAAACAATGGTTCATGGTTTGAAAATCAGAGTTGTTTTTTTTTTAACATCAGTAATAGTTGTTAGAATATTGTATGAATATTTCACACATTTTTGTCTCATTAAACAATTTAAATAATAATATTTTTTAAGGGGTTGTAAGAACAGGAGAAGGAGGTGGAGCAATAAGAGCAAGATTTTCTTCTGATAAATAGGAACTTCCAGGAGTAGGGGGCGATATAAAGGAGTTTGGACCATGAGAAAGATCTAATCCTGAACCATTTAAGGAAGAGGCATAAATTTCACTTTCCTCACATATATCCGTACTACAGGGTGTGGGTGGGGGAGCAAGATTGATATATGAATGATCATTGCACTGATAATGTCTGCAAGGACGCTCATTATAATAAGAACCATGTTCATAATCGGTGCTGCTTGCGGCAATACTTGGAGGAGGATTAATTAATTGGGTATTATACATCCTGTCTAATGACACTCCAGTAATGTTATTATGATCATAAAAGCTGCTACGGCTCTGAACTCTTGATGGTCTTAAATCAGATATGGGTTCATAAAAAGAGCTATGAAATGAAGAAACAGCAGCACCTCTTTGTCGGTTTATGTCATTCATAGAGCTGAATTCGCCATTGCATATTGCTGAAGGCTGCATCTCTATTCTAACTTCATTTCTCACAGTTTCTTTCTTTTGAAAAAACTTCCATTTTTTTGCAGCAAATGCACAGAAAATCAATAAAATAAATGCAGTTACAATAGCTGGTACGCTCCATATGAACTGCGAGTTAGGTTTTGCTGAGTGAGGTTTTTCCGAAACGCCACAGCTAGCAGGACTCTCGTCATGCCCATCCAGGCAATCTCTTTGGGAATCGCACACTTGAGTAAGACTAAGGCATTCTCTTGAAATAAGACACTGGAACTTATTCATTTGACAGCACTCTTCATCAGAATGATCTTTGCAATTAGGAATACCATCGCATTTCAGCATTCTTTCAATGCAGTCTCCATTATGACACCTAAATTGTCCTGTTTTACAAACTTCACAGTTATTCTCATCTGAACTGTCACTGCAGTCAGATCTACCATTGCAAACCCATTCCTTTGGTATGCAAGCTACACCAGTTAAGCATCGAAACTTATCAGGAGAGCAAATCGGTATGTCAATGCAAGAAGTTCCATCTGTTGATAAAACTAAATCCACTGGACATGAACAATATTTTTTATTACTTTCAGTTGTAAGACATATATGGGAACAGCCCCCATTCTTAATAAAACAAGGATGAGAGGAATAGCTTCTAGGATCAACATAGTTAACACCTAATAAGTTAACTAAATTTAGTATACGCCTCTGTACTCTTTGGCGATTTCCACCACTATCTTTATCAGCCATTTCAATGATTTGTTGATCATTATCTATCCAAAACATATGCTTTCCAAGAATTGTCAAAGACACAGGATATAAAATAGGTTCAGAAACCAGCAGTTTTCTGAAGGAAAAAGAAAAATTAAGAGTTACTTCATGAGACTCTATTACGTGTCAAAAAATTTAGTTAGAATAATAAATCAAACTATAAGTAGTACTAGTTCATATGTCAGGCATTCTAATTACCCATACCCTATGCTATACTACTTTAAATTAAAAGGTTAACGGTTACTGTCCAATTTTTTGCCTCAAATGTTGCTATTTTTACTGAAATCTTTTTGAATGTTATTAATTATTTTTGATGAAAATGATAAAAATCTTGCAAGCAGATGTTTATAAGCAGAATGTTTTATAAATTGATAATTTATGCATTATAAGATTTTTAGATAGAAATATTAAAAGTTAAACTTTACTGATTTAATTTGACTTAACTGCAAAAATTAGAGTAAATACAATTTTTAGAGTTAAACCTTAACTTTTTAATTTAAAACTACATGTAATGCAAAATTTTTCATTGTCAATACATTTGATCCTTAAGAGATATCGCTATATTATTCTTATTTAAGTAATTTTGGATCTCTTGGAAATAAAAATACAAGACGAAAATAAATATTTTTTTTTTCTGGATGAAGTATCATTCTGTACCATATACTGTCGTAGTTTAGGAATTTAAAGAAAAATGAACATTTTACAGCCTACAGAGAGAAAAAATTTCGTGGCAAGAACAAATACATAATTATGATAGGAACATTAAAAAAAGAATATGCACACGCAAAACACCTATATTCTCAGTTTTTAAACCACCATATGAGATGAAATTGAATGCATCTCTAGAGCAAGACTATAATTAGTTCTTACAATACAAACTGTATTTATAAACTACTTTCAGATTTTAGTATGATCAGAATCATATCAGAAATGGGGATTACTTACTATACTTAAAGAATTTACTAATTCTGTGAGGGGAAAAAATTACTTACCTATCAGTTCCAAATATTGTTGCTCTTTCAATTGTCTTTAGTACAGCATCTCCCCAGTAGATGTAACTGTCTAAAATATCAACTGTCAATGATACTGGAGAATCTAAACCAGTAGAAAACAGTATTTTCCTCATTTTTCCATCCATATTAGACCTTTCTATGACATGAGTATGGATCATATTTACCCAAAATAAGAATCTAGTAAAAGAAATCAATGCTTATCAAATGATAAAAATACATTCTTTAAAATTGCAATACATTCTAATTTAACAAAATTGCAATCAAAGCTTAATTATTTTGAATGCATTGTTAAGCTCCTTTATACTTTAATATTAATATAATTATTGAAAAAGAGTATATTTTGATTTCTATTGAATTAATTTTAAAATATCGAAATTAAATTTATAAAAAAAAATTTTTAAAGTCAATTGAATAGTAATTTAAAAGAATATTAAAAAATATGCAATTAATAAACGTAAAAATAGCATTTTATAGGATGTTTCAATCAGAAAGCAAATAACTTTACTACTAAACTAAGTAATAAGTTAGTATTAAATATTTAAATTGTTAATAATTTGAAGTTCTCAAGTTGGACTAAAAATAGAAACTTTAACTCTTACCCTTTTCTTGGATGTAATGCTATAAAACGGGGCTTATTATCGACATTTCCGATTACTGTGCCAACAAGATTGCCATTTAAAGTTGTGATGTTTATAGTATTGTGTTGAGAACAGGACCAAAATACTGTGCGGGTATAAGGATTAACAGCAATAGAAAATGGTTGAATATCATCGATTGGATTTGGAACAACAATGCTAACCTAAGAAAAAATAAAATTAAAAAACTAACATTTGCAATTAATTTATAGAAGAACGAAGTTTTAATTATTTTGATGATTACCTTATGTAAATATCACATAAGTAATAAAATAATAATATAGGAAAAAGTGAGATTTTTAAGACAACAAAGTTTAGCATGGTGCTGCATATTATTTCTAAATTGGGGGTGCATAACCATTTTCGGAAGGAAGCAGCAGAAAAAAAATGCAACTTTCATGGACTGCAAAAAATTCAGTTTTTATATCAACTGATAATAACCTAATTATTATTCAACGTAGTAAAAATAACATCAATTTTCCTTAAAAACTAAAAAAGGAAGTACCACAAATAAATATATTTTTGAATAAAAAAATATTTTAAATTTTGCCTACTTTGACTGCATGTTTTTAATTTTTTTGAGGAAAAAATAATTTCTTACAGCATATAAACTAATTACATACTCAATTTTCAAATAAACCTTAGAAATACATTTGTTTTGAAAATGTTTTGGTTACAGCAAATTTTTCTTCAAAAAAAATAATAATCAAATGTTGAAAGATTTAAATTTTTGCCAGAACCTTTACAATCGGGAATTTTAATGTTATAATTTCAAAATTTCTTCAATCTTTATTGAAAAGCAGTAATAAAATTTCTATGTCAATGTTATGCAGGTTTTACAAATTAATTTTAGACTGCAAAACCAATAGCGACACAATTACCATTTAAGGCATTCGTTAGGCCTCCGCGCAGCAGGTTTTTCACTGCTGATTTAACTGTGAATTCCATAAAATTAGATTAATACTTTCATAATGTAACTAAGTTTTTAAACTAATAATTAAAATTAGTTTATAAAATTAAAAACTAACCTTTGTTCCATTGACATGGCTTTTCTTAACAGTTTTAGATCTGCCATCAATCCAATAAACAAATTGGTCAACAGGATCATAATCTAAACCTTTTACGTTTTTCAAGTTGGGGATTGAGAATTTAATTTCAGGAGAGTCCAATGTATCTATCAGAAATCTATTTATGCTGTTACGTTGGCTAAATAGCATAAATGCCTTGGGATCTAAATGAAAATAAGATATATATATATACATATACATAAATTTTAAAAAGCAACATAAGAGGAACACATTTAAAAAGGGAATCAGAAAAAAAACAATTAATCACTTCTATAGTGTAACAACACAATGAGTAGAACTTAAAAAAATTTGTTATAGTCTAATTATAACCTGATTTATCTGTGCATAATTTATGTATGTTTATTGATGTGAAGATTATACTAAAAGACATTTTTTCAGTAAAATAAAGTGGATTTATATTTTATCTTGAATATCTAGATAACTTAATGATTTTGAACTATTGAAATGCAAGTCATGTAAAGATATAGTTTATTAAATCGGCATGAACTAAAATTATAAATCAATAGTGTAAACAATAAGCCATGGAACTAAAACACCACAAAACTAATATTTAATCAAAAATGATGATAATAATAATAAAGAGAGCCGTGATGGCTCAGGTGGTAGAGCGTTTGCCATCCAATGAGGTGAACCAGGTTTGAATCCCAGCGATTAGCCATTCATAAGAATTCTGCATTCGACTTGCACCGACCACAGTGTTGAAGTAAAATATCCTCAGTGGTAGACAGATCATAGGTTAGAGTCCTTTTGTTGTCAGGCTAGCCATGGGAGGCTATAGTGGTCTTCCTCTCCATGTAATGCAAATTACATGGTTAGCGGGTTAGTTCCATCAAAAAGTCCTCCACAAAGGCAAAATTTCTCATGATACTTGATCCAAGAGTTCCCTTGTTTTCTGGATTGCGTTCAAAATTACAAGGCTACGGAGTTGAACATTAGTAGTCGTAAACTCAAAAATTGGGTCGACTGTTCAACGTTTAAAAAATATAGAAATAAAATAATAATAAAGGAATATTTCACACAGCTTGAAAATTTTAGATTTAAAAAAGTTTAATATCTTTGGACTATCCAACCCCTATGATACAAATATATATTTATAGTGTAGCTATCTGCGAAGTCATATTAAGTGTTCACCACTAAGTTCAAAGCTTATAGATACTAAATGGTGCTTACATGAGCATGTTTTGTTATCAGAATTTAAACTGTAGTGTGTGGGACACCCACAATGATTGATGTAAGTTTTGGATTGAGCAGATGCAGGTAAACCTAGACAGAGATGAGCACATCCTCCGTTGTTCAAAGCACATGGATTCCAACCTTCAAAAAGTGAGAAATTACTTTATAGTAAAAATAAAATTATGAATCATAGAGAAATATTTTGAGCCTTTATGCAATGTTTTTAAAATGACTAATTTTTATGTATAAATTCGAACACAAAAATTGAATCTAGTCTTATTCACTTTAATCTAAAATCACTTTTATACTTCAGTATTTTTTTTTATGAACTTACCAAATTGCCTAGATTTGTGATAGACTTGTATGCCTAAAACATTTTCAGGCATTATTTGAATGGTTGTTCGGTTGCCTCCGTTACTTTTATTAGCTCGCTGAATACTTTTATTATCCCAATCAGTCCAGTAGATATAATCAGCATACTGAGTTAGACCATATGGTTCATAAATGTCTTCATCAATAACTTGAACTCTGTCATTGCCTAAAGACAAAGTACATAAAAAAATTAAAATCAAGAAAGAAGTAAAAGATTTTGATTGGTGATAACTCAAAGCAACTTGAATGAAAAGTACAGGGGTGATTGAGAGCCCAAGTCAAAATTCCGGAAAATTTCAAATTTCGGTGATTGTGAGCCCAAGTTATATATTATAGAGTTTAAAAAAAAAAAAAATTCTGTTTAAATTGAACAATCAGAAAAAAATGTAAACAAGGTTTTTTTCTTCCTTTTCTCAATATTTCTTAGTTTACTTAAAATATATTTAAAATTTTACACATGCCTATGATGACCTGGAGAAGTAATTAAAATTTATAAATATGTCTTTCTTTCTTGAGTTTATGATTATAACTCTGATAAAAAATGAATATTAATCATGAATATAAGCTTATAAAGTATCTCTCTGGTTCTCCCTTACAAACAAATAAAATAAACTGCGTTTTTAAGTTTCACCTTTGAAAATGTGATTTTCAGAAACTTCTGTGATCAATTATTTTTTTAAACGTCTGGATCTTCGATTTCCGGAAACTGCCGGATCACTGTTAGCGAAAAATCGAGAAATCCAGATTTTTTATGGAGCACAATCAGCCCTGAAAGTAGCATCAGCAGCTATGAAAAATCATTGGTCATCAATTGCCAATCATCAATGAACCAACAAAATGTTTCATTTGGCAACAAAATAAATGATTATACTCGGGAAATTGGGAAAGTTAAAATTACCTTTTCCTCAAGGGTGAATTGCTCCAGATCAATTTTGCTAAATTTAATGACAATATTACTTCTCTTTTTCATAACACTTTTCATAAATTTTTTGCATTTTGATATTTTGAAGAAAAAAAATTCAGTGTTTGAAACTTTATAAATTATTCTTGGTCTAAACTTTTTTTTTAAATTATTTGAATTTTAAATAACTATTGAAGAGAATTTGCCATGAAGAGTTTCTTCTGCAGTATTGTGTCTGTTAAAAAAAAGGGAGATTCTACACCTATGTCACAATATTTTACAGATGTGAAACTTTTCAATATTGCAAACTTGTCTTAGAATTAGGCATAAATAAATTACAAATCACATAAATAAGCTGTATTTTAAGAAAGGAATAATTAGATAATAGCTTAACAGCACTGATAACTTAATCTGATATAACCTTAAAACAGAAAAATACTTGAGTAATGAATAATGAATGAGGATAATTATTACAAACATCAATCAAATACAAAAGACAAAAAATATTTTTGTGAAGTAGTATTAAATAAAGTAAAGCAACAGATGAAAGGAGAAATAATGCAGTTAAAAGAGACAGATTACTTTTTTTGGTACTATAATAAGTACTTTTATCAATAAAGTGGTGAAGAATAATTCTATTGCTTCACACAGATGGTACTTGTTTATAGTACCTAAACTATTACTCATCTATGATAACTATATTATTTTTGTTTTTATGCCTGCTTGTTTTACTTTATTTTATTTAATTACTCAACAACAAAAAAAGAAGAAAAAATCACATTTTATAATTATTACACTCAAGAACAATTTTTTTTTCTTAAGTTCTCTGTTGCACAATTTTTTTTTAACAGATCTTAGATACTTTTGCATCACTGATTTCAAATCTGCAATCAGTTTCTTTTTCCAAGCTACAGTTTTTCTAAAACTGTAATTTTCAATAGATTTTTTGTCAAAATATACAAATTTAAAAAAGTTATATATAATAGGGCTTGCATAAATGTCATGACAAACTTCTAGGGGAGTTATGGCACATCATCAAGATTAAAATTGCATAGGAACCAATATCCAGGAATTCCGCTGGTTACCAACAGTTCCCTATTATAAATTGTTTCTCTGTGTGCTTCTGAACAGATTATAGCAAAGAAGCACCACTAGTCATGACCAACAACATTTTTGGGGATCGGTTCCTATGCAATTTAATCTTGATCAGGCCCTAACTTTCTTAGAAATGTGTTACAACATTTATGCGACCCCTTGTTACATATAACATTTTTAAACTTAAAGATTTTAATAAAAAATGGACTAAAAAGGTCATTTTTCAAAAAAATCAGAAGCTTTAGGAACAAAACTAATTTAATATTTAAAATCCCAACATCCGAATTAGGCAAGAAAAAGTATTTGTATAAATATAACAAAAAGTTTGTTCTCCAATGATCATCACACTTGATTGCATTTAAAAAAAAAATGGGTCTAATTTAAAACATATTTAAAGAAATCATCAATAACCTAACAAATTGGAAGATTCAAGTTTTCTAGCATCAACGTCAATCCAATAAAGTCGTCTTCCAAGATAGTCAATGGTTATAGCATTTGGTCTACCTAGGTTCCCAATTAGAATTTTTCGGTAAGTGCCATCCATTGCAGCTCGTTCGATGCGTCCACTTAAGCCCCAATCAGTCCAATACATATAGCTAAAAAATACATTCAGTAAAAATTAAACAAGATTTTCTTCTAAAAATTAAATTCAATAAAAAATACGAGATTTTTTTCTAATAAAATAAAAACAATGAGTAAAACTTAAGATTAAGTTAGCAAGTTTTTGCAAGCTTTGAAGTGAAAAATAAACATTAAATATATTATTATTAAAGTGATGTTTGTAAAATCAGGCATCTAATTACCTTCGATCACATAATGAAATAAAATAGATTTAAATTCATAGTCAGAATTAATTAAGTTTTCAATACTGAGTAGCAGAGAATTAGAGAAATTTAAGTTTTCCTTTTTGTAAACTTTAATACATAAACAGCTTGTGCAAAAAATAATTGTAAAAAAAATAACTAATATTTTTTAGAAAACATTGATTTTAGTTTACTATAAAAAAATATAAAATTATATTAAACTTCTGAATATAATTTCATTTCTTATGAGATAAAAGCATTAAAATTAAAGTTGTTCACTAGTAAAATGCTTGAATAAAAATAGCATTACTTTTAATGCTAGAAGAGTTATAAATTATAAAATAAATAGAAAATAACCAAATCTACCAAATAAAAAAAAATATTATGCATGCATTCTTTCATTTATTGATTGATAAGAATGAATTATCAAGCTATGTAACACAAGTCTTAATTGATGAGTAATTATGTCTACCAAAATAAAAAGTTTTTAAGAAGTCTAAAAACTTTAATTATTATGCAGTTTTCACCAGATAATTTTAAAATCATAACAAATATCTGGTAATTTAAACACAGCTTTAATAATTCTTAAATAGATAGTGAGTGAAACATATGAAATAAAAAACATTAAGAGAAGGGTGATCTTATTGAATTATATCTAACTGCTATTTTGGCTAACATTATTTTAATATGAAGTAAATACAAACACTTGTTTCGTTTTCCCATAAAGATTATCAAATTGAGAAATATAATAAAATTAAAGCAATTTTATACAAAACTAGTCAGAGTTGCCACTCAAATCTGGAAAAAAAATTCCCTATGTTTTCCCCGTACGTATTATACACAATATATTAAGAGGAAAAACAATCACTGTGTTTTATATGAGTTGTATTGGGCTAATTATACTAGCTACATTTGCGAAAAAAGAACCGCTGAACATACTTAAAACAAATAATGCTAAAGAAAATGAAATAGTTTAATATAGCTGAAATATCCCATAGGTTGCACTTTGAGTGGTTACCATTTTTTAAAAGACGAAAATAAGAAACAAAATTTCCTATAATTTCTTAGTTTCTAAAGAAAAACTCAAAATTCCCTGCATTTTTCCTGTTATTTTAGGTGATTCTTAAATTTCCTGTATTTTTCAGGTTTTCCCTATTCTCACTGTGGAGTGGCAACCCGATTATTGAAAGAATCTTTTTCGTAAAAGAAAAATTTCATATAATTCTTGTATGATTTTTTAAAATAATAAATTTTTAGTATGAAAATAGAAAGTCTAACTTAACCCCTATAATACTCCATAAAATTTGACACTTATATCTCACTGTTATTTCAGTTTTAATATGAAGCAAATACGCAATTTTTTTTCTTTTTAGATTAAGATTGACAAGAACCTGAATGACATAAACCTGAAACAAATTTGCTCTTTTTTTGCACAAGAAAAACTAGAAATTACACCTGTAGAATTTTTCAATATGAAACTAGAAAGTCTAAACTGACCCCTGAAAAAAAAAGAATATTATAAAAAGAAAAACATTTTACCCTTCAGCTGGATCTAAAGCTATTGATCGAGGATCATCCATATTTTGATGTAGTAAAACTTTGCGTGAAGAGCCATCTAAACGAACTACTTCAATGCGGTTTAGTCCCATGTCTGACCAATATAAGTTTCCAGCAATCCAATCTACTGCCATTCCTTCAGGATAGTTGAGGCCGATCTGAACAATTATCTCTACGCTGCTTCCGTTCATAAAAGCTCTGTTGATTGTCTAAGTAATAAGGAAAAAATATGGAAATAAATTAAAGTGTGTTCCAAAATGATAAATAAACTACAGATACTTTTACTAACAGTGCAAGAATTTGACTTGATTGAATAAGTCTAGATTTACAAAATCAAAAGAAATAATAGTAAGTTTCAAATTTCATAATATTGTTTGAGTACCCAAAATTAATAAAAGAGCAAATTTAGCAAACACTGCTGGTCTACTTATGTCATAACTAGCATATATGTTGATTAAAGAATAATATATAGGTTGTAATATATAAGTTGATATTGTATAATACATAGCAATCTACATATTACAACCTGTATATTATAATATATCATGCAAATATATTGGTTGATAATGTACAATGTTAAAAATGCTTTATAATATACTTATTTAAATGCTTATCAGAGGTAAACACAATTAACATGTACTTATTCTCTAATATTAAAAACATTTTAGATAACTGCTAAAAATTTATAAATTAAGAGTATAAACAAAATTGTTGGCCACAAACACTTAGAAAAAAAAAGCTCTCAGATTTTTCCAGACTGATTTCATTGAATTTTCCTGAATTTTGTAACCAATGTCATAAACTTTACTGTTATTTCTTCAGTTACAGTTCATTATTCTTAGATATAAAATATATCACAAAGTAATTATATTTACCATTAAGGATGAAAATATAAATTTTTAAACATATATAGGCATTACCAGACAAATCATTTTGGAAAAAAATAATGGACATTCAGGTTCCTTCAAATTCAAATGAATTCATTTTCCCTGACTTTTTGAGCATTTTTGTTAAATTCCCTGACTTTTCCCTGTTCAATAGCCATCTTGAAAATTATGCAAAATCATAACAAAGATTTAAAACAGGGTACAGTGTAATCGACCTATGATATACCAATCTGCAACCCAAGCTTTATTTTAAAAGTAGACAATTAAAGCAATTCATAACTATAGAAGGTAGATGCATAAAAAGATTAATTTTGTACTTTTGCCAGTTCAACACTATTTTTTAAATTTCACACCAAAAATGTTTATTAAATTCTTAAAGTTACTTCCTTGTTTCAAAAGTACAATCGCAACAGCAGTGTCACCTTTCAGCAATCACTGCAAGTGGCATATAACTGATTAAACGGGGAACATTTAAAGTGAAGGTAAAATCATGCTAAAATCGATGCATTCCGAAAAGAACAACAAACACAGTATGATTTTTAGTGTAAGATGAGCATAATGTAGACATTTATAGTCAAATAGGTAGTCTTTAGCAAACCCTGTCTAAGGCAAACCACTATAAATAAATTGTGTTAAAGTTTTCCTGAACCGTGAACATCAGTATCAGATTGCCAAGTTGCAAAGCAAGCACTATAATCTGAAATGAATTTGTTGCAGTTGTTTGTTCTAAAAATTAAAAATTTTGATATCTGCTGTAAAAACAAAATAATGGTATAACTACCTTCTGTAACTACAAATCATTCCAATTCACACAATTCCGTTATAGACACATCCTTCTTAGCACGACTTTACATTCACTTAAAATTCATTCATTTGTACTGTTTAATCATTTGCCAGTGATATAGCCGCACCTTTCATTATAATCCTGAACGGTGACATTGCTATGATTGCTGTTTTTCAGACACTATCTAATGTGTCCACTTTTCCTTGGGCAACCCTTTTATATCTAAATTCACAACCACATAATTTCCTCATAATTGGCTCAGCTTTAAAACTATAAAAATAATATCACTAGAATGAAAAACACTTAAAGAGAAATGCAGTTATTATAAATAATGCAACAAAGAAATATTGAAATGAAGGAGAAAATTTTATAACTGCTGAAGGCACATAAAACTTTCCTTTTACTCCTTCCAACCTTTTCAACACAATATTGGCAGTTAAAAATAATAAAACTTTCATTTTACCCGTTTGTTAATATCAGTCCAGTAAACACGATTATCACTGATATCATAGTCGATTGCATTTGCTTCTTCAACTCCAGACAAGGGAATTGTATCAACATGATTTGATTCTAAAGATATTCTCCGTATACTGTCTTTCCGTGTGAATAAAAGAAATGCTTCAGGTATGATGCAGGTTTTATTATCACTTGAAAGTTCCAAACTAATGGGACAACTACATATGTAATTGTTTCCTGGTCTATTTAGACACAAATGTGAGCAATTACCGTTGTTATTTGCACAAGGGCTTGTACCTAAAAGAATTCAATATGACAGCATCAGCAACAACTAAAAAAATAAATTTGAAAATTGTTTTATGAAAAGTTGACCAAGGTTAAAATGGTAACTATTAATGAAGAAAAAATTAAATGATTTAAATTAACAGCAATTTATCTAAAATGAAAGTCTACTACTAATAAAAAAAATTAGCATTAAAATTACATTAATAATGGATTACTATACAATAGGCATACACTTCATCTAGATCAAGAAACTAGAATAAAAACACACTAAATTATGCATAGTTAACCTTTTCCAGGGGGCTGTGACAGCAGTTGTCACATCTGAACTTGGGTTCCACTGGTGGGCATGTGACAACTCCACCGCAGTTAAGACAGAGGATCAAATTACAGGGGGATGTGTTTTATTGTTTTAGTCTATACGAGAGGTCTCACCTTTTTAAGTTAAGGGGAGAAAAGTTTCTTTACTTTTCCCACCTACTTTGAAACATCTATTCCAAGTTCGGGTACTTGCTTGTTTGTATGCCGTTTTCTTAAGTTTTTTTTAGTCAGTATAAAAGTTGCTATTTTTTTTGTATAAATTTTTTTGTTCAAGTTTAGGCCATTTTTTGAAAAAAATAATTTTTTTATTACAAATTTAATTCAACGAATATTTTCAAAAGTACATAAAAAATATGGAATATCGAGAATCGAAAAGCATTCTTTTAAGTGAATTAACTCAAATTGAAATAAAATGTAAAAGCAATATATTTTACAGAAACTTAAATAAATAAAGCTTTTTTAGGTTCTGTTTTAATTTCGTTTTATAAAATCAGCNATGTAAAACAGTGAGCAATGACATACCACAATTACAATAATTTTAATTTAAATATATGATGAAAAATGTTTGATGGAACGAAAAAAAAAAACTTTTTAAATAACATTTAATAGAAATTAAAAAAATACAATAAAATTACTCAGAGGATGGAGATTTTAATTGTTAATATAGTTTAGAACAGAATATAGATATTGACTTCGTAATCTTTAGTTTTCTTTATTTTTATTTGTCATAAACAGCATATATATATGCGTGCATAATTTTTTTATAGCTAGCGTAATGAAAAGTTTTCTAAAACTGTGATTAGGTTTATTTGTTTTTAGAATTTAAAACAATAAAATGAGAAAATTGTGACACACCACACTGATTCTGACTGTTTGGAAAACACTATAAATAGTCAACATGTGACATTTGGAATGTAGTTTTTTACGCTGAATTGTATAAAACCACCAAAGAAGTTTTCCCGCGCTTTTTTAGTTGACAAAAAAAGGGAATTCTCCACCAGTGGTATTTCTATTACCCTAACCGGGGTGGTGTAAAAGACAGCAAATGGTGTTTAGAATAACAGAGGGGGAATAAAACTCTCGGGGATGCTTAACACCCATCATTTGACTTGTTTTAGGGATTAGCGGTTCCCTTTCTTGAATTCATCCCCCAGTCTCAAAAAGAGCCCACCAGAGGATCTCGATTTCTTATTTTTGCGCCCATGTGAAGAGGTTAAGTATAAAAAACAACTGCCCTCTACTAGCTTATTAAATTGTATGAATAGCAAGTTACAGTTAACACATATTTTATAAACATTTAAGTTTCAGATCAATTTCTTTTTATGAAATAAATATTTTTCCACTTTTCGAGTATCTGTTAAAATTCTGAATTTAATATTAACATATGAATAAAAATTGCACAAAAACTATTATTATATACAACAAGATACCTATTGTCAGAAGTGGGGTTCGGACCCACACTCTCTTTCGAGAATCAGAACTTAAATCTGGCGCCTTAGACCTCTCGGCCATCCTGACACAGTTGCAAAGGTATAAGTTAGCACAAACTACAATATTTATTGCAACAGTCAAAATTTAAAAGGAATGAAATGTAGAATGGGCACAATGTTACAAAAAAATTCTTCTTTTTAATTGAAAATAACTCAATTAAGTCATATAAGTTTTTAGAAAATAAGATTTTAAAATACTTCTTAAATTTTACTACACTTTCAAATCTTAATAATAATCAACATACAATTTTTAATAGAAAAGTTTCTACTCTTAAAAAAAACTATGATAAGGAAAAGAATATTTTGCATTCACAGATTCTATACAGGTTTTATAAAAAATGAATAAGCATCAAAAAATGCTTTTAAGTTAATTTAGCATATTTAAATCTAGGGAAATTCTAGAAACAGACTTATATTGATCTGGAATACTATGATATAGCTGGTAACAAGTCAGCTGACTACGTTGAAAAGCTGGGAGCTTCTATCCAACAAACATCAAGGAAATCTGTCCCTCGTACCAATGCTAAGTGCCTAATCAAGAAAAAGATTAAAGATCTCACATTAACTAAATCACAGAGAGAAATTCCGAAAAGATCTGGTGGAATAATATCCAAGATCCTCCTATGTGGCCAAGATGCAAAGCAGTCAGCAAGTTTCAACTGACCACTGAACACGACTACCTCCTTAAACATCTTCATCGAATCCATGTTGTACAAGCCCCTTTCTGCACGCTCTGTGATTTTCAGGAAGAGATGGATGTAGACCACCTTGGCCATCTGTGCCACCGTCACTGGGGCACAAGGGACTTATTGAGTTTATAGACTTTTCTCGCCTCGCCTGTTTTGTTTTCCCTCCCCTTTTGTGTATTAGAGGTCTTTCTGAACTCCAATGGAAATTAAAAGAAACTAATTATGATCTATTGATACTGATGTGGAAATACATTATTCTTCGAAAATTCAATTTGAAAGCCAAGGTTACTTATGCCATTTTTTAAAGTTTACTTTTTTCTCTGAAAAACAATAAATTTTAAGAAAAGTATGGGAGTATTCAAAAAAAAAAAACTTATTGCATCTAACACAGACAAACCTGATTTCAATTATTATTAAATCTTGAAATGCAGACAACATGCTTTTACTATCTGTATCACTTTGCTTCTTAAGAAGTGATAATTTGCATAAGCTCTAATCGAAGTTTGGAGTGGAAAGTTCTACTGGTTGACTTAGAAAAAAATTAATGGAAACCAATCTCACTAGTGATTTATAATTTAAATTTTATAAGTACGCTATATTTATTTAAAATTTTGAGATGATTATGGTCTATGAATTAAAAAAGAAAACTCAACTGGTGGTTAGAAGTGGCCAGTACTACATAGATTAATGTCAATGACTTTGATTGAAAAAAAATATAATAGAACTGTATAGAAACAGACATATCACATATACATCATAAATGAATAAGTAAAAAGTAATAATACTACAAAAAACTATACTATACACATCATTAAAATAATTTATACTATACATATCATTAACATAATTTATACTATACATATCATTAACATAATTAGCTTTAAAAAATTGAAATAACACAGAAACAGGCATACCATATACTTCATTAACATTAATGGCTTTGATACCCATCACATCATGAAGTTGTTCGATTAAGATTTCCCTACAGCCTCCTGTAATCTTGTTAGCTCTTTCCACAGAGCGACGTTGCCAATCAGTCCAATAAATATAATCACCTAAAAAAATATAGATTTACAAAAAAAAATATTTAAACAGGATTTATTCTAATTAAACACGATTGAAAAAACTGCTGAATATTAAACAAATTTTAATTTAAAATATATATTGCTAATATGAACTACTCAGTTTTTTAAAGACACAGTAGAGTCCCGATTATCCGAGTTAATGGGGACCGCAACAAACTCGGATAACTGAAAAACTCGGTTAAAGCGAAGAGTATAAAAACAGAAAGAAAAAAAGAAGGTATAAATGTAATATATTTAAGAAATACAAAATGTATACGAGTATACCACATACAATTCATATTATAATTAAAAAGCTTACTTAAAAACATTTAAAAAGCATACTTTACGAGAATTAAATAGTTTTTACTTAAAAAAAAGTCCTTAAGCGTTTTTCGTTCTACGTAACTTTGGCGCTTTTCTGTAGTAATGTTTTGCCTTTTTTACGGATAACAGGAAGGCTGGTGTCGCCTCTTTTTGTTGTTCTATATATTCAATAGTACATTCGATATCTTTTAGTCCATCTGTATGAGATATTTTTATATGTTGATTTTATTGTCTTCATCACTGTCTACTCACTGTCTTCATCATCTTCGCTAGATTCATTATCATTATTGACGATATTAACGATAATTTCATCAGACCAAGTTGTTGGATTTTGTTTTTCTGAGTGTTTGGAAGATAAAATTCAGATTTATTTTTCAGCGGTTTTTTTAAAAATAAACTAGAACAAAAAAAATCCTTGAAATATTTGATAGCTCGGTTAAAGCGGAAACTCGGATAACCGGGGCTCGGATAATCGGGACTCTACTGTACTTTTAAAACAAATATGAAACAAAAATTTAATACATTCCCACATATGAAAACACAGTACCTTGATATAGAATGGATGAGTGTTAGAGATAAGACGGACTCTGCTCGTTTACTGAAGGAAGGTTTCAGGTTTGGACTCTTGATAAAATTTTCATAAACACATTTGACTACTTGACTACACATTTGACTTGTTTAGACACGAAAGGCTGCAGAGCAGGAACGTAAAGTTTGGCTTTTATCCAACGTATATCTCAAGCTTAAGACCTAAGTATTCCTATGTATTTTGGGCTTGGAGGGGGCCTCAGATCTCCAAAAGCAAGCCCAAACTAATCTCTAATGAGTATACACCAAAATGAAAATTAATCCCTGTTAAATAAATTTGAAAAGAACTTTATCAAATAAAAAAAATTGCTTTTTAAAAGTAGAAAACGATATTTTATTTATTAGAATGTCCCTTAAATATTTCTCAAAACAAGTGCACCTTTTAAAATTTTGACACATTGAAAATTTTTAACAATGACAGTGACCACAGTAACTTTTTTTTAACATGTAACTGTCAAGCATTATTTGCACCCTCATTAACAAAATACCAGCATTTTTATGTAATGAAATGTTCAGTTTATGTCATTTGGCTACTGGTAAAAAGTACATAAATGATGAATTTTTGCCATGCAAACAGATATGTATAAATATAGTCATTAAATAAACTAATCTCACAACATGAGCTAAATGCTTAATTAGTTGCTTTTTGTTAGAACTTAATACTAACAGGTCTAATGAGCAGATTGTCCATGCTATATTTAAAACCTTCTCCAATGTATTAGATTATTAGTTCGGCACCATGAAACTAAATGTTTCTTTTTCTAGATCATATATCATAAAACTAACAAAAATTAAAACTATCATTACTAAAGAACAAAAAATAAATAAACACAGTATATTAGTTTTTGAAACTACTTGATTATGTGATATCATTTGGGTTAGCAAGAATGTATATGCAAATTGATAGACAAACTTACAAAATATAAATTTTAAGGACAAGAAAAAATTAGAAGATTAATTTCTAGACATTTTATATACCCTTAGATATTTTAAAACAGAAAAATGCTATTAACATAAATGTTAAACTGTTAAAAAAAAGTAAATAATCAATCTAAAACGAATGTTTAAAAAAAATTACCAAGCAAAGACAATCCAAAAACTTGGGGCAGTTGATCAGAAACAAGTTCTCTGCGGTTGCTGCCATCAAGGTTTGAGACTTCAATCTTATCTGTTTTAGCATCACCCCAGTAAAGCTTCCTTTCAACTACATCAATAGATAAGCCATTAGGCCATCCCAAAGATGTGCTTATTAATATTATACGCTGTGTACCATCCAATGCAGCTTTTTCAATTCTAGGATGATCAGGATTCCAATCTGTCCAGTACATGTATCTAACAAAAATTAATTCATGGAGCTTAAAAAATTTTTACCAAGAATATTAAACTAAATGGTAAGAACATTGAAAGGAGCCAATGCATACAAAATTTATTAGAATCAATTTTTATTCGATTGTTATCTTTATTCTGGCATATATATTAGACTGGTGCACAAATGGATTTAGGTCTTGGTTAAATAACTCTAAGATGATGGGGATCAATTAAAATCTATTATCAGGTGTTAAAATTTTTGAATTTGTAAAATTTGTAAACACTGTGGCGTAACAACTTTTAATGTTTAAGCGAATCAATTACTAAATTTTTTATGCACTTTGAAGTATTAATTTTATACTTTTGAAGCTGTGATTTAACCTGATATAGTAATTAAAATCAAATTCAGTCTTTAAAAAAACCGATGATGTAATAATTTAGTACTGACACAAACTAAAATAAAAACCAACTCATCATAAAAATGAATTTTCCCTCTTAAAAAACAGATTTTTACAGCATATATTAAAGCATGATTGGTAAACTCTGCAGTAATATTCATTTTAAGATAATACAGGATATAGAAAAATTTTGAGTATATTCATGCACTTTGATACCAGGTGGAGAAACAGAAGCAGTTTGGAGTAGGAGTCACAAACATGAGAATAATAGTTCAAAGTAATGGGTGTGATAATCTGAGGATTGCAATCATACCAATGAGTGAGATAGTAAAAAGATTGAAATTATATCTATGGGTGTGATATTTAAAAAAATTACAATTATGATCAAACTCATGTGGACAGGTGGTTAAGTTTAACTCTTAGAAGTATGTGGGATGTCTCTCTAATATATATTTTTTCTGACGATCTAATTACAAATAAAAATATATTTCAGCATTTTTTTAATTAAAAAAAACCAGTCTAATAGCTACTAAAAATATATTTTAAATTATCAAAATTATATTTGTACTAAAGTATAAAATCCAAAAAAAAAGTAGCTTAAAAATTTTTCTCTTTCATTCTTATTCAAAAATTTATCAATAAACGATTTTGTAAATTAAAGAAATTTCAATGATGAAGAGCTGTTTCTCTTAGATCTAAATAAGTGCAAATTTTTAAAAAAAATTATTGTTTAGAAGCAAGCTGTATTTGGAAAATTTTGCTTTTAAGCCAGAGACAGACATCAGTCTTTCATGATGTATTATTTTCATAACCATAAATTAAAATACTAAAAATATAATATTTTTCTCTTAATTTAACCTAAATTAATACAAAATAATAAAAAAGTATGAGAAATATGCTGAATAAAAATTCTGCACCAAAGAGTTAATTAATAAAAATGTTAATAAGACAAATTAGCTTAATAAAATAATGACAGCTTGATAAAAGTATAGAATAAGTAACGGATATTTTACCCTTCAGGTGGATCTAGTATGATAGCTCTGGGTGCACTCAGATTTTCTGTAATAAGAATTTTTCTGGAAGTGCCATTTAATCTTGCTACCTCAATACGGTCAGTACCAGCATCAGTCCAATACATATTATGAGCAATCCAATCAATGGCGATTCCATCTGGATTTTGAATTTCAGCTGATACCAAATCCTCACACCCTAATTCAAAAATAAACACTTATTAGTTTAAATTATAAAAAATAAATTTCATTTATTTATTACTCAATTCATTACAAATTAACCTTTAAACCTGGTTAGTTAAGATAAACCATTAAGTACTAGCAAATGGTAATAAGTACAAAACTTTTAAAATACAAAAGTCACATCTTTTTTTTTTTTAAATTAGTTTATGAATAGAAAGAAATCTAAAAATCTAATTGTTTATATCAGAACAAAATATAAGTAATGATTTAACAAAAAAATAAGTTATAAAGTAATCATCAGAAAAATTAATTAACATTAATTAATAAAAATTATTATCATACCATCAGAAATTAATTATAATTTATAAGAAATAAATGTCTTTGATATTTTCTCTATACATAAGGATCATGCATACAAATAAACAAATAGTACATCACAGTTTAACAAAAAAAAAAATTTTTTTGTGCAAATACGCAATTTAAGCAATGTTTTCCACCATTTACTCAACATGATAACTTAAGTCAATGTAAAGTAATTTAGAAATTATATGACAGGTCCTATTTGTATCTTAAAGTAAAATTATTGTGCTGTTTCAATTATGATGATTTCACCTATCCATGAGCACAGAAAGATTGATTCAGATGCAACTTCTCTAGCAAACTAAACACTTTTGATAACCCAGTTCTGAGAAAACTCTACTCAAAGACAAGTGCTTGTTTAGTCAGTTTTGTTGGCAGTTATTGCATAGCAATTTCCACAGTCTTTAATATTCAAATATTTTATTATGATATCATAACACCACAGAAATTTATAGAGAGCAAGAGCTTCTCAAAGCAATAATTTTTAATGTAATTAATTAATAAATAGTAGCAGCATATGCTATATAAAAGTGTGGCGTGAATACTTCTTGCGTCAATATTCACACCTGTAGACAATCTATAAAAAATTATTGTCAAAAGAATTCAAACAAATAATTATCATATAAATTTACCAGTTCCATTTAGTCCAGCTCTTCTTATAACCTTAGCTTCACCATCAGTCCAATAAATCTTCTTATCTACAGGATCATAATCAACAGCAATAGCATGCTTGAGACCATCTATTTCTAGAATTACATCTGTATAATCTGGAGTATCTAAAGAAATTCTTCGCAAATCTGTTTTTTTAACAAGTAAAAGAAGTTTCTGTGGCCCTGAAAAATATGCACACATAATATAAATGAATAAATAAAAACACACAAGTAACATGAAATTAGTACTACCAAAATATACGTTTAGACAAAACTAAATATCTAACTAATGTATCAGCAAACTTAATTACATAATAAAACAGAAAAGCACAAAAATTAAATTATTTTTTTCAAAACTAAAATTGGTTACCAATATAACATATTGAATGGGTTACAAATACATATAACATATTTTGTGCTATTTATTTTTTAGAGATGAATGATTTTATAAAATGATATACCTTTATAAATAATGGTTTCAAACTTAATTAAAAAATTTAACATGAAACCCACTTACAATCCACTTTTGAAATGTTTTTAAAAGTTTCAGGATGTTTTATCAAGAATTTAGTTTATAAAATTCTAAAAGATTAATTTAAAAAAGAATTTAATTTAATATAGATGAATTAAAGAAAAGGACAAAATGCTTAGTAAATACATATTTTTTTGCGGCACTTTTAACTAAAACAGAGTATCAGTGAACAGTCGCATCTTCTCTTTCTGCAGTTTGCTCCAGTGAGGGAAATATTGCTGACATGCACTCCTTGTGTTGTCCATTCCATCATCAGGTTAAAATTTGTTATTAAAATTATTTCAATTTAAAATTGTCAATATAACATAAATAAGCTATCTAAAACCAGCCTCAAGAAACACGAAGTAAAAGCCACGTGTGTTGTTTTCAAAGAATTTGTATGAGAGAATTAAAATTAGACTTATTGGCAATGCTGACTTAATAAAAATTAACAACTTTATGCCAGTCAAGATTTTTAAAAAATTTAAAATAACAATGTTGTGCATTATTTTGGTGCAGTGAAAGTTGCTAATAGATATGAAGACTATGGTGCTCTATTTCTTTTTTAAAAAAAAGAACATAGTTTTTCTAATCATGATTCTTTTTTTCCCAAAAAAAGTTTCTTAAATCTCAAGGGAAGAAATAGCTACCAAACTTTCATCGTAAGTGATTGTTAAAACTAACAAGAATACATCTCAATACACATTTAAAGTTAACATGGCAAATTTTTTGATAAAATGAAAAATAAATTTCAAAACATTTTTTAAATGAATCAAATAATTCATGAATTAAATAATAATGAATCAAATATTCAAGTGAATCTTAGTGAAGAGAAATGCTCCATTACAAAGTATTCTTTTAATTAAAATATGTCAATATTTATCCTCCAATAAGGCTTAGATTAAAATTATTTTAATTTTGGTATTAGATATACCTTTCTGAGTTTATAAATTATTAAGTTTGTCAATACAGTAGAACTAGTGTGGATAAAAGCAATCTTTTTTTTCTTCTTTTTTTTTAATTATTATGGAAAAACTAAATATCTTTAAATTTAAAGATATCGACCAAAATGCAAGTAAACGTCTACATTATTATTTAAAAAAACATGAGTTAAAAAATATACTAAATGTGTTTTTTCTCCAAATTTTTAAAAAATGTCCACACTGGCCTCCATCTTCCATATTTGAGTGATATTACATATACTCAAAGTTATGAAAACAAAGTCACATGTCGAAGTCAACAGAAAATTTCAAAAAATACACATACAAGGCACATCAGGTTTCTGGAGTACTTACCATCTTCACAGGATTTGCCATCCAATTTTAACTTTACTCCAGTTGGACAAGCACATGAATAATATGGATACACAGAAGAGAGCAAACACAGGTGTGAACATCCACCATTACTCTTACCACAAGGAGTTGGAACTGTAATAATATTAAAGTAAATTTTCAGGCTGAGTCGTTATAAAAATATGATTTTAGACTGAAAGAAATTTAGAATTTTTTTAAAGTTTATTAGCTTTATTGTTACCAATTGGTTGCCGATCTTTGTGATAAATCTGAATCCCCATAGGTGTAAAAGATCCACCAAATGTAGTTCTCTTAACACATCCATTTAATATACTGCAGGAATGAATAGCTTTAGTAGTCCAGTCAGTCCAGTAAAGAGTATCATGAAGGAGACTTATCGCATATGGATGAGGAACTGTTGCTTTAGTAATTCGTTGTCGAAATTTACCATTAAAATCTGTGCTTTCAATAGTTTTTATTTTTGCATCAGTCCAATAAATCCTAAAATGAAAAAAATTAAGATTTCTATAACAATTGAACATAAATTTAAATTTTGGAAGTCTGAAATATGTAAATTTAATCCTTTGCCTTCTTAATACAAATCCACATTTTTTTAATTGAACAGCTTGAAATTTGGTATTTGTGAGCTAAATTCATTACAGTTTATAACTGGCACTGAACAACAGCCGTTTTTTTTTTTTGGGGGGGGGGGGGNGGGGGGGGGGGGGTTCGAAGCGATTGGTGGTCAATTCTGTAGAGTTGTAATTTTGAACATAATCCAGAGGACAAGGGAAAAACCTGGATTCTGCATAATTATTATGACAAACTTGCCTCTTTGGAAAACTTTTTTAATGCAATCAATCTGCATTTGTATTACATGGCAAAAAAAGAACGGAAAATTCCCATGATTAGCCAGACAATGAGGACATTCTATCTTGTTCTCTATCTACCATTAAGTATATTTTACGTCATCACTGTGGTTTGTGCAAGTCTTAAACAATTTTAAATGAACAAACTATTGCCAGGATTTGAACATGGAAGACAGGTGTTCTATTTTTTAACCCTCAGTCGTAGACTAATTGAAAAATCTGTCTCTTTACTACAGACACCATCATTTAGCAATAAGACAGACTGATAAGAAAACACTCTATCATTTTTAAATAAGCTTAACATTTTGTAAACTTTTAATGTAACTGAAGTTTATTATACCAAAGAACTTCATATCTTAGTTCAAATAGAAGATTATTGAGACATAAAATAATTATTTCTACTTTTTCTTTAAAAAAAAGGTTTTCCACTTAAGAAATTATTGTATTCAAATTGAAAGAAATTACTTAATCAATCATTTGATATATTAAAAAAAAATTAACTAATATTTCTACAAATTAGCTTCAAAATAATTAATCCCTACCATAGTAATTATATTAATTTCAAAAATGTCATTCAAATCTAACAGAAATACCTTTTTTTGTCATAATCAACTGCCAAACCATTAGGCCAACAAATAGAAATGCAATTTTCATCTTGTACAATAATTTTACGTGTAAGTTGGTTACCATCCATGCTTGCCTTTTCAATTTTAGGTGTTTTTCCCCAGTCTGTCCAAAATATCCAACTGAAATCAGTTTCCAAAGTTTTAAAATACTGCAATAGAAGTATCTGGACACTTAGCGGTAATTGTTTCAAGAAATAAATATATATATTGAATTATTAAATTAGATGCAAGACTAAAATGAGTTATTAAAAACATAGAAAACAAGCAATTTTTAAGAGTTCTTAAAGAGACAAAAAATTTTATTTCTTTTACACTTTGAAATTATACTGTTTTTTTTAATCATTTAGAATCTAAATTTTTTTGAATTAAAAAATAATTATAGTAATTATAGTAGATCTTTATAATGTTAATTTTTATAGAATCTTGTGTAGTATCATTTCACATATCCTTGAACTTATTAACTAAACATGGAAACAATGTTAGTCTGTAACAGAACAATCATAAAATGATTTAAAATAATTACTTGGAACAAGTACTTAAAAACATAAACATATGCACAAGTATTTATTATTCACAGATAAAAAAATTTAAATTTTTAATATCTTATTACGATGAAACTTCACAAGCATCATACCAGTAATTATAAACAACACTACCTTGATAATACAATGTGTATACAATACGTTCCAATCATGTATTTGAATCAATTGTGAATATGGATTACCTAATGATTTCTAAAAAATTTATGTGGAACTTATTTGCTCTGCATCTTCAGATATGTATAATACACACGAACTTGCGAACAACATCATGAAAATTTTCAGATTAAATATTTTAGTACTTAAAAAAGGGAAAAAACCTTTATTTTGAAAGAAAATTGGTCTTTTTTAATTTTTTTATTTCCTTCCCTTTTTACTCCCTTAAGAGGGAGTAAAAAGGGTTTATTTTTAAGCAATTTCCTACACCTACGAGTTTTAAAATGACATTCACATGATTTAAAATCACACATAGCGATTTGTGTTCACATGATTTAAAATCCCACATCGAGATTTTTGTTCACCTGATTTAAAAATCACACATTGCGATTCGTCTTTATGGATTTTAAGATAGCGCATTTTGTTTCGAATTTTCACATTATCACTTTTCGTATTTAAACAATTTTAAATTCAAACATTAAGATTTCTGTTCACGTGATATTAAAATCAAATATTGAGATTCTTATAAGCGCAATTTTAAAACCAAACATCGATATTGGTGTTACCGTAATTTAAAATTAAATATCGATATTCGTATTCGCGTGATTTAAAAATCAAAGATTGAGATTCATATTCTCACAATATAAATAAATAAAATCTCGCATCGTAATTCTTATTAAAATGTTGTTGTTGACATATGCCTGTCTAGGCAGAGGGGGTGCAATTGTTCCGGCTTTCCAGTGACGCCATCTATGGCCAAGAATTCGACTTCTGCCACACCATACGTCACACCCGTTTATAGGGCGGACCCATTCATACATTCATTCATCCACAGATCGTAATTTTGACCTGAATAAGAGAACGATCGATTTCCAATCCAGTACCCCAAGAGGTATTGATTTGTTATTGGAACATGAAGGACTTTTGCGACTCGACAGATTTAACATGCATCAGTCACTTTATAACACGGGGAGTCTCGGCCGGCGGGGTTCGAACCCACGAATTCTCGGACATGGACCCAGCGCCCTATCGACCAGGTTATCCCGGCCCCTTATTAAAATTTGTATAACATTCTATGGATAAATGCTTTCCACATACACTTTTTTTCCCCTCAAATTTCAGGCATTTCTTTCAATTAAATTTACGTGTGTTTGCATATAACTTATTTTAGATTACTTTTTCAGCTTTTTTGGTTTATTGCCAAAATAATCCCTGTGGTTTGATGATGTTTTAATTTTTATATAGAGTTTATAAAAATTAAAACATTTTTTCAAAAAAATTCAGGCTTTTCAAACAAATTTCACCAAAAGGAAGTGGTAACGAAAGGATATAAAACTAGTTACAAGAGTTAATCAAATGCCTGCAGAAAGTTTTTTAATTCAGATTTTGTGTTCGCAGAGAGTTTTTCATTTTATCTAAGTCTATGCATCTACACCCGATATTCAGCCTTTCTTCATCCCATCTACTTTCACTAAAAAACAAAAAATGAATTTTCTCAAGACTATTTCCTACTGAAAATTAATTGTAAAAAAACTGTGACCTAAAACATTTGTTATCAATCTCAGAGCAACCTGTGACAGTCACTAGAGTAGCTTCACGAACCAGGCAAAAGATCAACAACCAAGGTGTTAATATCGATTTATATTTGGATACAAAAATTTTTAAATAACTGCTATCAAAAGCAAAATTTTAAAATTTAGACAAAATTATATATAATTAAGATTTTTCATGAAATTAAACATGATAAAATAATCTTGATTAACGTTATGAATTTATTAATTGAATTGTGAAATTAAGATCAAAGAAAATCCTGGTAATGTTTGTAGGGCTATGCAGATATTATAGTCAAAATAAACAATTAAAAACTGTAAAATAAGAATATGAAGCTAAAAAAAAAAATACATATTTGTAAGTCGTAAATTAATTTTTGTAAAAATCTATTGCATTAAAAAAAATTATAAACATGCTTTACAGAATTCAATTTCAAAATAAAAGTTAAAATAATAAGATACACAAATTTGTAAAATAAAAAAAAATTGTAAAAATTTATATGTATTTAAACAAAAATCATAAATCTATTTACCCATCCATCGGAACAACAATAATAGCTCTAAGTTCATCAAAATCTCTCCAAAATAAAACTTTCCTAAAGCTTCCATCTAGATTACAAAGTTCAATTCTATTTCGTTTTGAATCAGTCCAATATAATTTCTTGCCTAACCAATCAACTGCTAAACCATCCGGAGAAATTGCTCCTATAGGCACTATGCTTCTATTTGATTTAGTATCATTGATTTGCCTACTTCGAATTTCCTCTAACCCAGCATCAGCCCAGAAGATAGTTCGATTTTCAAAGTAAAAATCAATAAAGTTAACATTAGCTAAATCTTTAATGAGTATGCGTGAGGAATTTTTTCTTCTGGCATCATAATCAAGTAATCTGATATCTTTTCTATTAGAAAAGATTAATTGAGTGTACAAACCTGAAAAAATATTGAATTTTCAAAATTATTTCAAGAAATTTGCAAAATGAAAACTATGTAGGATTTTGTAATATAATAAATATTTTCATATACACAAAATTTCCAATAGATTACTTTTTATTGATCTTATCAAATATATATCCCAGCGTCAACCCCCTATTTTTGATTATAGGATTCTGATATATTGGGTATATAAGTCCACTATTGAGTATATAAGTCCACTATTGGGATTATAAGTCCACGGCTGAGAGAACATGAAAGTTTTCATCGTGTTAATTTTTTTTAAATATTCTTAAATAAGTCAGCATAACTTTTTTTTTTATTCTTAATGGTTTTTTTTCTGAATGAAATTTAAAGTATTGGGCCTAAATAAAAAAAACCATTTATATGTAAAGAAAATAGGATGAGAGAAAATGCATAATTTATCATTTATACATACTAAAAGTAATTTTTGAAAGGGAAATTAAATTGATACATAGTTATTCATACCTATTTATTTGCTTAAAATGTATTAATTCTTCATGAAAGTAAGAGAAACTTTTCTTTAAAATTCGTTTTTAAGACATACTACGCTGGTCACAATCAAAAGTAAAAATGGGAAATAAAGTGCTTGTTCAAGTTATATACAGTACTTTTTGGTTTTTGCTGTTATCAGTGAAACAAATTTGCATTGTATTATAATTTTATGCATTTTTTAAATATTTTCAAATATTTGAAATATTTTCAAGCAAGTCTATAAACACAGATAATTTTACCACTGTAAATTGATATTTAAACATTAACAGCATTACTTTTCTTCAAAATGACACATGAATAAAAAAGGCAGTGTTTTTAAGGGATGGTGGCTTATTTTTACAAAAAGGGCACATTTATTTGGATCAAAGAGCAAGCAGGAACGCTCAAAGAGAAAGCTGAAAATATTATTCAACATTTTATTCTAAAAATCCCAAAAAACAAACAGTCTGAAGCAAAGAAACTTAGTTTAAATCAAAAAGCTAGGTTTTTTAAGAAAACAAAATCATGTTTTTTTTCAACCCTGACTGTAAGTAATTTTCCTCTAGAGCTCAGATGATTTAGGCTTATAATTAGGCTTAGCTAAGTATTGCATTATAGAATTTTTTTTAACCTCTGTTAACTTTAGTAAAAGCATAATGATATATTTCAGAATTAAATTAATTATTAAAAATATAATTTACTGATATGTTTAGAATCCTGAATTGTAATTACAGTACATTCTTTTTTAATCTTATATTCTAAACATAAATAAAATTGATGATAGATAATGAATAAAAAATATGACTAATAATCGAAAAATGACTCAATTAGTACTGCTCAGTACTAATTGAGTACTAATTGAGTACTAATGTTATCTCAAGATAACATTAATGAGGCAAATTTGCATGCATATTGTAAAATATTGCATTTAAAATACATTAAAGTACAATTTTTATAAGAAAAAAAAGTAAAAATCAACTCTTCAAAATTTACTGAATTATGAAAAAAATTAATATTAAAATAAAAATATTACTGCTATAATATTAGAGGCATCAAAACATTTTCATTTAATGATCAGATTATTTTTTACGTTATTAAAATCCCTAGAACAAAATATGTATACATTAATTTTAAAAAAATTTATTTTTCAATAACAAATGTGAAAAATCATTACAAACTAATGCGAATAATGGCATTTTTTTCACACACTAAATTTTTAAAATAAGAAACCATGACTAATTATTAAAACAAAAATTGATAATAGCATGCATAATTTCTTTGCAATTTAAATATAAACTGTTTTGCAAGGAAGTGGATATAAATAGATCTGCTGGGGCAAGAACATCAGTAATATGGATTTGACACAATTATTTAACATAATTTTGATACCAAACGACACTACATCTTTAAATAAATAATGTTTACCTTTAAATATAATCAGGATATATTTACTCCAATCTAGTTTTAAAAACAAAATTTATATGTTTTATGTAAATATGCACTAACTTAAGAAATTACCCCACTTAACCTCTCTTGCCAATTTAGTTTTATTTCATAAGCTAAAATTAATCCTTTAGAGGCACCAAAAATTAATATATGGTGATATATTTGAATGCAGATACTTTTACTCATACAAATGACAAGCATACACTAATACATGCACAGGCAACACTGATAAAAAATTGAAATGAAAATTTTTCAAATGATAAAATTTAAAATGAGAAAAATTTAGTAGATGTAAACAATGTTTCAATCTTAACTCAGTGATCCTTAAAAAATATTCAAGCAAAAAAAAATTCTGTGAAACATTGGTTTGCTTTGTTATAGTGAAATCATTTTAATATGTAAATAAATGTACCAAATAAATAAAATGTCCCATTGTTACTCATCCGAGACTAGTAATAATTAAAGCAATATTTTAAGGTCACGAATGAATTTCGTTACTTAAGAGAAATAACACTGCCAATTTCTCTCTTTCATCAAGGTAAATGAATCTCTCCTTTTAAGTTACCCTTTCCAGTAAATTTTGCAACTTTCGCTTGCATTAATCTTTATTTTCTCTTATAATGCAGCAAGATGTTTAATATAAAGAAGAAAGTACGCCTGGGGCAATATACTAATTAATTTAATTAGTAAATTATTCAAAACCTGTTCCCTGGTGAAACGGAAATGAGTAAAATTGATGATTTTTAAAGTAATTTAAGTCTGTTCAGTTAAAGTATTAGAGCTCTGATAGCGATATATAAAATTAAAGAGATTTCAATTAAAACGTGCGAAAAAATTACATACCACTGCAATAGATTAAAAATAGAGACAATAATATGAAATTTAAGAAAAACATCTGTAAAATATAAATTCAAATGTACATAATTTAAAAACTTTTATTTAATTAGTAATTAAAAACATATAACAAACAAAAACAACAACAAAAAACATTGACTTTCAATTTCGCGGATCTTATTACTATTGTTTGGTTTCAAGTCTTTGGCTACCTATTTCTGTGCAGCAAACTATTCTTTAAACAGTAATTTACAGCTTAATTTAACTTAACCTTATCGCAACGCTCGAATGCGTCATCTAGGGAGAAGATCGTTTCTATGTCTCCATCCTCGCCCCTTCCCTCTCCTCCTTTTAAACTTTTTTAATATTTTTTATTTTATAACCGTCGTTGAACAGCAGACACAATTTTTTGGGTCTACGACTACTAATAATCGACTCAGTAGTCTAGTGATTTTGAACCCAATCCAGAAGAAAAAGGAACTCCTGAACCAAGCATTGGGAGAAATTTGCCTTCGTGGAAGACTTTTTGATGGAGCTAACCAGCATTTGCGTTACATGACAAGTAAACCATGAAACTCTCCCACGTTTAACCTGACGGTAAGGGGACTCTAACCCATGATCCGTCTACCACTGAGGATATTTTACGTCAGCACTGGGGTCTGTGCAAACCGGATGCGGAATTCACGGAATTCATATCGACTAACCATCAGTGGGATCGAACCCGAGCCACGTCATTAGAAAGAAAACGATCTATCCTCTGAGACATCACTGCTCCCGTTTCTTAATATTATTCATTTTAAAATTTTCACGATGTTTTCTTTTAAAAACAGTGGCGTAACTAGCCCATTTGCGCTCTCTTGAAGTAATATGAATTTGCTCCCTTATTTAAATCTGCTCTCTAATTTTCCTTATGAAGCCGTAATGAAAATATTACTATTTAAAACCTTTTCAGCTAATCGTGTCGGAAAAAATTTAAAAAAAAGGACTAGTTTTGCAATTAATTATAACTTATTAAAACGCTGACTTATAAAATAAACTATCAAATATATTTTAAAGTGCCGACCGGCCTGTGTAAGGGTTAGGGAACTGTCCTTGCATTAGAAAGGTTCTGAGTTCGAATACCGGGCAAGGCATGAATGTTCTTTCCTTCTCTGTACTATCTGTCCTTACTGTGGAAACAGCGTTGGCTCACCTAACACGGTACCCCTGAAAGAGTGGCCAGCAAATCTGCCCTCAGATGCCCAAGTGGGTCCTTTTAAAAGGTGGGCACTGGACATAAAATATATATATATATATATATATTAAAGTGTATAAGATTTTAGTTAAACATATCTGATGCAAAATATCAGTTATTGCCGCTATTTATATGTTTTTAGTATTATTCTCACATGAATGGTCAATATTAGAATCTATGTAAGAGTTTTAATTTAATATTCAAGTGAGAACGGAAAATAAGCACTTATTACCTACATCAAGCGAATCAGTATTGAGAATTATCATAGCATAGGTGCCATTAAAAAAAATTTATAGTTAACTTGACTATAGTCAAATAAATTAAATTAAACTCGAAATGACCCAAACAATTACCTATGTTGCCATTTAATTTCTTCAAACAAATAAACTGGTTTTGATTATTTTAATTTCACATTTACGATTATTGACTTTGGATATGGTTTGAGAAATTTTGATAACTTCGTTGCTTTTCTCCTCGCTTAAACATTTGTTTGCGATCCATGAAATAATTTTTTTATTTCATTTCTTACAAAAGATTATTCAGTATATATACAGCGAGTGAAGTCAAAAAGGAGCGCTTTAAAAACTGTCATGTACTAAGATGCAATCTTAATAGTTCGAGAATTTAACTTTAAATATGTGAACTATTAAGTGCGAGCCGTGGTGGCTCAGGGAATAGAGCACTCCCCTCTCACTGAGGTCACCAAGGTTCGAATCTCAGCAATGACTGGTAGATACGAATTCTGCTCCCGGCTCACACCGACCACAGTGCTGATGCAAAATACCCTCAGTGGTTGACGGATCATGGGTTAGAGCTCTCTTTCCTCCAGTCTAATAAATTTTAGAGAGAGAGAGAGTTATCATGGAATGTCTGATTCCAAGGGAGTGTTCATGGTGCGGTATTGAACGTTCAGGGAACCAAACTCCTAGTTTCACCTTCCAGCCGGGAATCCTCATTCCATTACCGGTAGCTCATGGTAGGGCCCCTGCCCGGGATTCGAACCCAGAACCTTTCTGATGCAAGGACTGTTCCCTGCCCCCTACACAGATCGGGCGGACTTTTTAAATACAAAAATATCCTTTAAGATAAATCATAAACATACAAATTTAAAGATTCCAGTGTAGGAATAAATATGGTTAGCAGTGTCCTTATATGGATCTCACTCTGCAATGGGATTGAATGGGAAATTTTTTTGACTTATTAATATTCTTTCAATTTTGGAAATTTTTATATTTAGATTTTTCAGTGGTTTACTTATCCATCTGACATACAAAAAATTTGCTATCTCATAATCAAAAACAGGGGGTCGTCTTATACAAAGGGATATAAGAGAGGTAATGTAGAAATATTAAGAATTCTTTTTAATTTAAGAAAGTCGGAAGAATTTTATGTCTGAATAATTGAGAGGCTTAAACATATAAAAAGTCACAGTCAAAATTTAAACAAAATTTTATTAAAACTGAGATAAAAATTTAACAGCAACAAAATCCAGATTAAAAGCTAATTCCAATTGTTGATGGTAATATTTACAAATACATAAATGATTGGAATCAGCACAATAATCATAAAAGCTAGTTTCAATTTTAAAATGCATTTCGATTAATAATTAACTATTAGTCAAATTCCAAATCATTATTTTTTTAAATAATAATATTCCTTTTGACATACTACACTCCAAAAAATATACATCGAAATATAACTTAAAAGTTAATATACTAAACATCTAATGCAAATATTTTCAAAGCAGAAAATCTACTAATTAATCAACTAAAAGCAAATAAATTAAGAATAAAAAATAGATGGTATAACTTGTATTTTTATTATGATCAATATAAACAAATGTTAATGTTCATTAAAATATTATAATTAAATAAATATGTTGAATTGGTTATGTTATCTGCATATTTTCACAATAATAAAAATATGCAAATATCCATCAGTGAACAATGGGAGCAAATATTACAAAGAGAGGGGGGAAACCTCCAAATATTTGAACATGTAAGTAAAACATGCTTTTTTCTAATCTACAATTTTGAATGTAAATTCGCCTCGTCTCTTTTCACATCCAACGACACACGAGGCTCATTACACTCAGGTATGGCAAATTTCAAGAGAAATAGGTTTTTTGCAACCCAAGTAGAAGAAACTTTTTAAAAAAGAAATATCAAATATTAAAACAGTTTCTTAAACATTTTATAATTGTGATCTAGTTAAAATAAAACTATTAATTTTCAAGCTATTTAATATTTCATTATTAAATAAGTGGAAACTTCAAAACAACATTTTGAAAAAATAATTGTAATGACTTTCTTAAGAAATAAAAATAACAGAAATTTTAAATTTTTTTGTAAATTAGTATAGTAAAATCTAATTTTATAATTATATAAAGAACTGTCAAAATGACATAATCAAATTTTATTACTACGACTAAATTAACAAATTACTTACTAAACATATACACTACTAAAAACGCAAAATATTGAATATAGAGTCGCAAATCAATTACAATTAAGTATGAATATCTAAATTGTATGATACATATATTTTTAAAAGTTTTGTATGAAAATATATAAATATTTTTTTAAAAGTAGGAGTGAAAAACTTATAATATTCTGGTACTATATTAATTTTTTTAAGCTTAAACTGTTATAATACTTCTAAACATTTGTATTGGTTACTTTTAGTTTCTTCTACTTAGACCAGCTTCTTTTGCTTTTTTCTAGTCTCTTCTGTTTTGGAAGAAATACGTTTCTTCCAAACTAAATGCTAACCCTGATTACATTGAAATTTTTTATCGTTTTTGTGTAAATTAAAAAAAAAGAAGTAAAGAATTAGTAATATCTGTATGATTTTGAAGTTAAGTTGAAACAATAAATAAATAATGATAACAACCAAAAAATATCATTACTAAAACTTTTAATGTATACATATTTTTCATCTATTTTACATTTGTTTTATTAAAAAAGCAAAAGCATGAATTTTGCAAAGCACTAAAACAGTAGGAGCTATATTTTATTGGAGTTGCAAAAGGAAGTTAAAGAAAAGTCATACATATTTGAATTATTCAAAAATAAAAAATATATACCATAAAAGAACGGTAATCTAATTTACTTAACACAGAGATGGATCTTAAGACATATTTGGTATAAGTAAGTGAATAGAAAAGCAGACATTGTTCAGCACAAATAATTTAAAGCTGATTTGCCAATTGTAAGTAACAGTCATTGACATGCCACTGTCCTTTGCAAAGAAGTTTTATCAGTTGTAAATTCCATCCTGAATACAATAACAACTCATAAATACAAAATCAAATAAAGAATTTAGTAGCACTAATAAGGCACATCAATACAACAAATTTTAAAAAATAGAAATACTGTCTTGTGCTCCAATGACATTATTTACAAACTACTTTTTGTAGCATTTAAGACACATTCCAATCACTATAGCTGCTTTATAATATTTTGAATCATTGAATTTTAACTTGAACCTTCAAATGACAAATATATAGAATAAGTACAATCCTTCAAGTTATCATACTTATGTATTGTTAAATAGGAACTAAAAAATAAATGCAAATTCTAATTTCCTGATGATTTAAAATGCATGAGTGATATGAAATAAATGAACACAATATAAAATTTATTTAACCCTACAAAGCACACAATATTCTTTTACGCCTTTTCATTTTTAACTTCTAATGGAATCCTTTGTAGCTATGTTTCCATTATAGCTACAAAGATATTGATTTTTTTCATAAACAATAAAAATTAAATGAGCATTAATGATAAATAATGCCCAGATATGATATGAACAAGCATATACCCTATAGATGGTATGATATTTACTATGTTTTTTTTATAGCATTATTTAACTATTTAATCAAAATTCAGGCTCTAAAAATAAAATAGATAAAAATTGAACATAGCATTAGTTTTATGCAACTGATAATGAATGTACAATTAAACTTGAATTTTAAGCTTAAAAAATAGAAGAAAAAAATTGAATGACATAATTATTTTAAATAGTAGAGTTAAATAAAAAAGGTTAACTTTATTATCAAAAATAATTTTAAGTAAATAAAAGATGCAACACAGTGCATTGTAGAGTTGAATAAAAACAACATGATTTAAAATAAAAATCATTTAAAATCCACCTAGAAAAAAAAATTTCCATACATACTACTATACACATGGCACTTTATATCAAAGGAACTTACTAGTTTTAGGATGGGAATTGTAAAAGAGAAAATCAACTTTAGTAACACTATTCTATTACATTACCTGAGATGAATAGGACATATGACTGTATAGTTACTAATAACTAAAACTGTAAATAATTCAAAATCAAATATATAAATTTAACTAAGTTTGGAACAAAGTATTATTTATAATTATCTTTAAATTATTCTTTGCTAGCTAACTTTAATATAACAAATGGTATATTTAAGAAACATCATATTTCTGAACACCCTTAACTTGAATTACATTTTTATCTTGTTAAAAAAAAATCCCATTAATTGCACACCTTTAAAAATTCGACAAGTACTTTCTATTTACAGACAATTTTAAAAGTGACTCACAGAAACAAGCACTGAATTTAAAGGGAAACTAAGAAAAAACAATTATAAAAAAACACTAAAATGTAAAAATTAATATGACCGTCTAAGGTTTATCTACATTATAATAAAATAATATATAAAGCAAATCATTAATAAATTCCTGTTAATATTTTTATAAAAGCATTTTTTAAAAATTGCAGTCATAAATATTAGTTGTAATGAAATTAAAATCAACTTCCAGAACACTACTGGAGTAAAGTACCCTTCCCATCACAAGAGATCAATGACAATTAAATGCTCATACTAAATACATTTTAAGAAACTCGTGCAAAATTCTAAATTTCAGAATTACTTCCTTCAAAATTTTGAAAATTCAACACATATCAGTTATATAAAAACAAACACAAATATTAAAAAAAAAATATCAAAACTACAATATTGTAATAATTTAAAAAAAATCACAGGGTCTGAACAATTATTTCTTTTACTTCACCTTATAACTTAAATTGGAAATATCATTGCATTGAATAAAAAATTTTTAATTTTAGCAAAACACACTCTAATTGAAACAGTATGTGCAAATATGAATAGATAAAAAAAAAAAAAAAAAAAAAAAAAAAAAAAAAAAAAAAAAAANAAAAAAAAAAAACAAGCAACATCACTTGCACAGTGACACAAGTTCACATAACAAAGCAAATTTAACCTAATAGAATCATTAGAAAATGAATTAAAAATTTTTGGAAATAATTACTGCTAATAACATATTAACAAATACTTAAAAGAATATTATTTTAAAACCACAGATCAAAATTAGCACTCCTTAAGTTAGAAAAATGATTGTCATTTTTTCAAACAATAGCTATAACGAGAATAATTTTAAACATTCAAAAATTTCATGAGTTATAATTTCAAAAATGGACTGTCTTTTATAATTACATTACAACTTTAATAACTCTTAACTTAGCTCATCAAAATGTTTATTTTCATCTCAAAATTATTAAAAATATTTTTAATCAGTTTCTTTGTTTTACAAAATTGCAATCAATAAAAGCATTTTACTTTTCTCCTCATTTAAAACTTCAATTATCAAGAATTTTAAACATAGAGCTTGTTATGTATACTATGGTTTAAAAAGAAAATATTTTGTAACTACACTGTAGTAAATATGATAAATATATACTTAAAATATCTCCAATAAACCATGTATTACATCAAGGCATATTTCCCCCCCCAGGAAATCTAACACAAAAATAATTTTTTACTTAATATTTATAAAGTGGAGAGAGAAAGCTTAAAAAATTATATCGAAAAAATTACATCAAAATAAAATAATTTAGACAAAACCTTGAAGAATAATTTGAGAAAATTTTTCTCAGATAAAAGAAATTTTAGTTGGACTAAAATATAATGATAAAAAAGTTTAAAAAGTCCTAAGATAAAATTTAAAAAATTTATATTAAATAAAAGTACATATTTTCATTTTTTTTAAAAATAGATCATACAGTAAATAAAAACAAGCATACTTCAACTTATACTTGAGTAAAATATTAATAAGAGTTTATTGTTTTCTTTTTCTTCATAAGAATAATTTATTATTTTGAAATAGTGTTAAAGGATTTCTGTTAAGAGAATTTTTTTTGAGAATAACTTATTGTCATTAAGTATTGTTTTACAATTTCTACAGTTCATAAAAAGTAAGAATTATGCATTTTAAGAACTATAAAATAAAGTTAATCAAATATCCCAATATAAATGGGTAAACTATTATGAAACCTAGAAAAATAAACGCTACAATAGTTTGTATATCTTTCGGTAGAAAAGTTTGTATATTTTAATGAAAAGAAAGAAGAAAAAAAACTACAGGGTGATTCATAGTACACTCCCTATTTTTAGAAAGCTTCATACTCTGTAAAAAATAGAGCAGAAATGAACAGAACCATTCTGTTATATCTGAGTTTTTTTTAAAAAATATATCTCATAAACATCCACTATGCAAAATGTACATAGCATTCTAAATTAGAGAATAGAATTATGAATTGACTGAATTCAGGGATAACCAAAAGTTTTTGAATCCAATACTTATGTAAAAAGTATAACCGGATAAAATATTATGATTGTAAAATAAGTGTTTTAATATAATAGCACAAAAACGTGTATCTAAAATATATAGCTGCACAAAAGAGCAACTAAAAAACATTTACTATTTCAGAGCTCTGAATGATATAAATACAAATAATTTGTACATTAATTTGTAGTATAATTATCACAAATTATAGCTCCTTATCATTAGCAAAAATATTAGCAGAAAAGCTTTTCGAAAATTTTGTTGATGAAGAAATGTTATCATAGAATCGATATTAAATTACATAATTTACAACTATACGTAAAGCTACCATAAAATTTATTTTTCAGAACAAACTGGGGAAGACTAAACATTATATGAATATATCTATGTTATTAAAAATATACCTTACATATATACATATTTACAAAATACAAAGATAACTATATACAACAGCAACAAGTTTTACAAACATTCTAAATTTTGCACAGCAATAAGATAATTATTTTAATATATCTTTTTAAAATAATTATTTTAATCTATTATCTGATGTTCACTCTCTAAACACAGAAATAATTTAATTCTTTATGAAAATGTAACTTCACATCAGATAAAGGTTTTATTTTTTTTCATGTAGGAAATAATAATTATGCTATAAAATTTGTTTATAGATATAACAAGTGCTGAAATCAACAAGAACTAAAGAGTTTTTGGCAAATTCGAATTCTACAATTCTAATATATTATTGCAAATGTACAAATAAAATACAGGACATTGAAAAGTTTAACTTAAGTAGCCAGATAGCTTCAAGATGTAGGCACAGGAGATGGCGGTGGAGCCATAAGCTCAAGATTTTCGTGATTTTCATCTGATAGATACGGACTTCCAGGAGTAGGTGGTGGTGGTATAAAAGGATCAGAATCATAAGAAAGCTCCATTCCTGAACCATAAAAGGACGAAGCATAAGCTTCACTTTCATCGCAAACATCCGTACTACAAGGAGTGGGTGGTGGAGGATGGTTAATGTATGAACGATTGTTTTGATGATAATATCTATAAGGTGGTCCAGTATAGCAGAAACCACGATCACAAACAGTAACAGGACTGGGAGGGGGATTAATTAATTCAGTGCGATAAGTCCTGTTCGAAGAGCTCGATGAAGCTCCTGTTACATGGTTACGGTCATAAACACTGCTACGACTCAAAGCTCTTGAAGGTCCCAGACCAGACATGGAGTAACTAGAGCTATGAAATGAAGAAACAGCCACACCTCCTCGCTGATTGCTCACATTCATAGAGCTGAGTGTTCCATTGCACATTGCCGAAGGTAGCATCTCATTCCTCAATTCTGCATCAATTACATTCTCTTTCTTTAGACAAATTTTCCATCGTTTGGCAGCAAAAGCTAGGAAAATTATTAATATAAATATAGTAACAAATGCTGACACACTCCATATAAATCGAGAGTTTGACTCTGCTGTGCGGGGTTTAGGCAAAGTGTCGCAGGTGGAGTGGCTTTCATCATAGCCATCTATACAATCTCTTTTAGAATCACAAACTTGAGTGACACTCAAACATTCTCTTGAAGTGGGACACAGGAACTCATTCTTTTGGCAGCACTCTTCATCAGAGTAATCTTTACAATGTGGAACACCGTCACATTTTAGTATTCCTTCAACACAGTCACCGTTATGACATCTAAATTGCCCTGGTTTGCAAACTTCACAGTTATTCTCATCTGACCTATCACTGCAGTCAGATCTGCCATCACAGAGCCATTTCTTTGGTATGCAAGTCACTCCAGTAAGGCAACGGAACTTATCAGGAGGGCAAATGGGTATATCAATGCAAGAAGTACCATCTGTTGATAAAACTAAATCCACTGGGCAAGAGCAACGTTTTTTATTATTCTCTGTAATAAGACATATATGAGAACAGCCCCCATTCTTAGTGAAACAAGCATGATTAGAATAGCGGTCAGGGTCAATATAATTAACACCTAATAAGTTAACTAAATTTGGTATGCGTCTTTGTACTCTTTGTCTGTCACCACCACTATCTTTATCAGCCATTTCAATGATTTGTTGATCATTATCAATCCAAAACATGTGTTTTCCAAGAATCGTCAAAGAAACAGGATGCAATACAGGATCAGAGACAAGTACTTTTCTGCAATTAAAAAGTTGTAAAAATAAGTTTAGTTATGAAAAGTAACTATTCTTTTATATAATATAGAGTTATTACAATGTGATATTGTAACTCCAACTTTTTTCCTTTGCTATTTAAGTTTGCAACAAAACCATTTAGAAGAACTATTTATTTTCACTTGAAATTTAAGAAAAAACAATAGATATTCCATAAATACAACTGCCAATAATTTAGACAGTATACAATTCCACCCATTGCTGTTGATGAAAAAATATGATTTTTTTAAAAAAATATATGTAACATTTGAAAAATACACACATTCATAGAACAGATGGATAGAATGTTGAGTTTACAGACAAGAATATTATGCACAGCTTACTGATGACATCTAAGTCAAACAATATTATAAACACCAAGTTTTATGAAACAAAGAAAAAAATCCTTGGGGCTATGGCAATTATGTTTATTTGAAGAAGGTAACCACCAACTTCATCAAAAGAGATGCCATTAGTAGGAAATTCCTATTTCCTGATACTAAAGACAATTTCAAAGCAAACTCAAAAGATATTTATTTTTAAATACAAACACTGGGAAACAAAGGTCTTAATGAAACTTATTTAGATAAAATAAACCTAAATTTATCTTTTCATGGAATTAAGAAACTAAATTGATGCTACTTTAAAAATATAATTTTAGAAAGTTTGGAAGTCTAAAATTTAAACATCATACTAGTATGTGAGTAGAAAAAGAACTACCTCTCAACTAAAATCATGAAAAATAAATAAATAAGCATGTGAAACTATTTTGCGCAAACATTAAAAAAAAATTAACTTACTTATATATGCATTTAAAGTTACATTAAAGTTTTTTTTTACCATATGTGTACATTAACAGTCCAACAAACTGTTAAATTTTATGCATATAGTCATGATCAATAATAATAAATTTTCAATACACAATTTCTTAAAAAGTCAAAATACCCACAAAAAGTTGGTGAAATCTCATGGCTGACTATAATATTTTTTTTAGCTCTATGGCTAATATGTATACACACATATAAATATATACAGTGTTCAAGGATTACTGGGAAAAACTTCAAGACAAGGTAGGAGATATCAGAATTACATAGCAACCCATGATTGGAAAAATCATGAAAAAGTAGCATGACAGGTAAAAGAAAAAAAAGAGACACAAGACTGAGATCATTTGATATATTCATCGGGCAAATATATTATGTGTGCTGTGGTAGATAATATGTGAAAATGTCATCAAAGACGTAGAAAGTTTCCACTATTGCTAGCGACGCACGCGTTACTTCATCGGGCTATGGATTGCCCATCTCGCTTAAATACACCTGCAACAGATTTTGCTGGAGATCCGCAGCAGCACAGATTATTCTTGCAGCCAGATCCATTTCAAAATCTACAGGTGTTGCGTATACAGCACTTTTAAGTGTACCCCAAAGAACACCTGCATAAATCAAGAAAGTGTAGTGGCCAGGAAACTGGTCCACTAATCTTGTGAACAACAACACCAAGTGGAGTACGGAGACAATTCCAACCATGGGTTGCTATGCAAATCTGAACTCGTGATGTCTCCCACACCCCCTTAGAGTGTGTCGAAATAATCATGGGACAACGTGTATATATACGTATTTCAGCTGAAATAAACTTCGATGAATGCAAAGTGGAAAACAAATCACATACCTATCAGTTCCAAATATTGTTGCTCTTTCAATTGTTTTCAATCCAGCATCTCCCCAATAAATAAAATTATCCAAAACGTCAACTGTTAGTGATACTGGAGAGTCTAATTCAGTGGAAAAAAGAATTTTTCTCATCTGGCCATCCATATTGGATCTTTCTATTAAAGGTGGATGTATCATGTTTACCCAAAATAGGAATCTATCCAAAAATAAGTAAATTAATAAAGTAATAAAAACATCATCAAAAGATAGAAAGCTCTTCTAAATAATTTAATTATTTAGAAAAGCTTTCTATTGTTGAAAAGATTTGTAGAAAGAGATTATGGATTTAATCTATAATAAATTAAAGAAAAGTTCATAAAAAATCCTTACATAAATTAAAAAATAATCATATGGGCTAAAACTAAAACAATTTATTCATTTTCATATTAAATTATACAAATTTCTTACCCTTTTGTAGGGTGAACAGCCAAATAACGAGGTTTATCATCTTCATCTCCAATTACTGTGCCTATCGGAGTACCACTTAGAGTTGTGACGTTAATGGTATTGTGTTGAGAGCATGACCAAAATAGTGTCCGGGAGTATGAATTAACAGCAATGGCAAATGGATGAATATTATCAGTTGGATTGGCAACAACAATGCTAGCCTAAGAAAAGATAAATCATCGTTAGTAAAAAGTTAATATTTGTAATGATTTGATACTAGAAAAATCTATATTTATAGCACAATAACATCCCTTCAATCTCTTATTGATAGGAATAAAAATATTGTAATAAGTTAGGAATAAACAAGTTTTTTTTTAAAGAAGAAAATCTTTGAAAAATTTAACTTGAAATTTAAGCCTTCTAGAGATATTAAAAGAAGACTATAACTATTGTTAATTTTTCTAAAAATGCAAAAATAAATAGTTATATAAAACCCAACAAATTAGGACATTAATACCATTTTATAAAATCTAAGTGATGTTGACACATGCAAATCTATAACACTGAGTCACATATTACTTGTTAAGAAATTATCATTACAAAATAATAATTGCGATAATTATTTAATACATGTGATAATAAATAATAAATGTGAGAATCATTTAATATTTAAACAAAACCTACTTTGGTTCCATTGACATGACTTTTCTTGACAGTCTTAGTTCTTCCATCAATCCAATAAACGAATCTCTCAACAGGATCATAATCTAAACCTTTGATGTTTTTCAAGTTGGGAATTGGAAAATTTATTTCTGGGGAATCCAATGTTTCTATGAGAAATCTATTTATACTGCTACGCTGGCTAAAGAGCATGAATGTTTTTGGATCTAAATAAAAACATACACAATAAAAATAATTCCTTTATATGAATTTTCTGGAGTATATTTGTTTGTAAACCAATACCAATCAACAAAATATTATCCTATTTACAAATTAGTTTAAATTCTTTTAAATTTAAAGACAAACTAAACTTCAAGACTGCTCTTTGAGCCTTTTAGTAAAAAATAAAAAATATTATTCTTTTTCTAATAATAAACAGTAAAGAATAACTAATCCAACTATATTCAGGGGTCTGTCCAGGGTAAATTCACTACTGTTTAGCAGTACCTTCACAAATTCAACTTTAGGGAAAATGGTAGTTTCACATAATACTTTTAAAAAAGCAAGTTCTCATGCAAACCCCATTTTCGTTGCAATCTATGGAAAAGGGCTTTTCTGTCAGCTGTCTTTTACGAAAAGGTCAGTTGGTGCAATGTTGTAAGCAGGGTTGGCAAGGTTTAGGACAGAATGGATTAATCCATGGTTTAAACCGTCCTGTCCAAAACTGTCTTAAACTGTCCAAAACCCTTTTACTCAAATTATGTCACAATTTTATCTGAACAATATATAAGAGGTAAAATAAACATAGAACTAATAACATATTGATAATTAAATCTACTACAGAATATTTGTTTTTAAAAGTATAATGTTTTATTAATATTGTTTGACTCTTCAATTTAAACATTAAACAAAGGAAGATTAATCAGTAATCAAGTTCAATTGGTCCTCTCATTCAATAGTTCATAACTGAAGATGGACCTTGCCATACAGGTTAAGCTATTAGGGACTAAGTGCTTGGTTAGTCAAAAACAGGTTTATTTACCTATAGTACTATTCAAGAATACTGTTATTTCATTCATGTTCAATTCTTTTAGCATAGTGGTGATACATCACCAGTGTCAGTAACTGAAACTGATGTTATGCCCTTCAAAACTGTTAATACATTTTTCAGTTATTTTGTATTTTCAATTTAAACTAATATATTTATATTTAAAAACAATTTTTTTTAAAAATAGATGTCTTTTTTATCATCCTGTGATGCAGAAATTATAAAAATTTTTTAAAAAAATATTGTGAAAAATAAAAGGTTAATTTTTAAACAAATTTAGTATTTTTTTTAAAAAAAATATTTTTTAGTATTGCATTATTTATCCTTATGCAAAAATATTATTTATCAGTATTAAAAGCATATTTATATTTAAAGGATTAGGTATTCACTTTTGTTGTTCAATGAATTGTGGAGCTTCAAAAATTATAAACCTTTTCCTATTATATTATATTATTTTCTTTTAATAAGTTATAGTAAATTGTATAAAAAATATCAAATATTTATTGATACATGTAATTATTATGTGTACAATGGTTACACCTATAGAATTTTTACCTTTTACCAAAGTTTAAGGTTTTGGACAGTTTTACCCAGTTTAGGACAGTTTTACCCAGTTTAAGACAGTAAAACCCACTTGTCCTGTCCAAAACCAGTTAAGGACGTCCAAAACCCCAACCCTGGTTGTAAGCCTAAATGGTCGCTTATGCTGTTGATTTTTTAATATAATTTTCACAAATTATGTCTAAATTTTCACAAAATAGGTACCTCTAAAAAATCTTAGACCCCTGATATTATTTCTTTAAATACAATCCAAAGGAAATATAAAACAAGATATTGTAAATTGTTGTTTGTCCCTGTTTTAAATTAATTATAAAGAACGAAAAAAAAAGATTGGTATATTAGAAGATTAGATATGGACTGCAATATCTGTTCATCAATTATTATTATTGTATTGTATTGCATAATTGCATTTTAACATTTGCTTCATAAACCCCCTAAAGATTTTTGTAAACAGCATAACTTGATTCTCTTTTTATAAAGAGCTCAGGCTTAAATGTTAAAGTCAGATTAATTTACCTTTGGTCTGAAACGATTCGGCAAGTTAAAATTTCAAAATAGTAATATGAAGAAAACTCTAAATACTTTTTTTAATAGTGAAAAAAGTGCGCTTATGATTGTAGTAAAAATTAATATTTTGATAACACTTCTATCCCATTAAAAATTTGAAGAAGAAAAATTGGTCACTCTATGCAGATAAAGTTTATTACTACAAACAGGTTTTCAGTTTGTTAAAGACTGAAAGACTGCACTTTCAATTTTCAGCACACTCAAAAATTTAACAATTAAGCATCAATGTTGAGAGATGAAAATAATTTAATAGCTATAAAGTAAAATATTGAAAACATACCTCTCAAGAAATTTTTTTTTTCTCTTTCAAATTTCAAATTAAAAATACAAAATCAATATAAATTTAAATTAATTTAGAATGCAATAATACTTAATGTGCAAAACTCACATGAACATGTTTTGTTATCAGAGTTCAGGCTGTAATGTGTGGGACAACCACAATGATTAGTGTAGATTTTCGACTGAATAGATGCAGGTACAGCAAGACACAAATGGGCACAGCCTCCATTATTTAATGCACATGGATTCCAACCTTTTAAGGGAAAAAAATATTTAAGATATATGTTTTGAAAATGAAACTTATTTTAATAACCAAGTAAAACCTTGAACTTTCAGCAGAAATACACATATAAATTTATATGAACACTTTACAAATCTTTCTGTTCATTCATCTTTATAATTTACATCAGTAGTTCCCAAACTTTTTAGTTCAAGTAACTTCATGACACCCATCTTTCTCAATTTGCTCGCAGTTAGTTTTAAAAGAATCAAAATCTTATTTCATTTTAATTGTGACTTTCTATAGTATCTTAGAGAATATAATTTATTTTCTTTTAAATTAAATTAATTTTGTGATACTTGTTATTATTGCACATTGCAAAAATATATATGTAATAAACAAATAACGATAAAAAAAAGGAGTGAAATCTAACACAAAATTTAAGTTCATTGTCAGATTTACCACAAAAAGAGTAAGAGAACTTTGATCTGTTGCGACCATTTTTATTTGTAACTTATAATTTCAAAGAAATACGCAATGGTATTGATACTTTTTTATTTATTTATCACTATTTGTTGCATATAAATCTATTATTAAAAGCCTCATTTGTTCATGGTGTAACATTATGTTATGCTACTAGAGTTTTACTAAACTAAAAGTTAATTTGTAGCAGATTTGTTGCTATACGAAACTTATAATTAAAAAGCTTATATGAGAATCTTTAAAAATATAATGATGGATCAATTTATCCATACTCAGATTTACAACTGAAGAGAGGAATTCAGATTTTTCACACAACTTTGAAAGATCTGTATGGAACCACAAGGTTCCACAAAACCCAGTTTGAGAACACCTGACCAGGGCTCTAAAAATTTTGACATGCTTTGCCAGGTATAATAACTTATAAAATAATGCCAAAATAGAACTTTTATACGTCCAAACACCTTTTATAGAAGTTACATTTAACAACATATGAACAACAACACACATATGAATGCATCTAAGAAGAAGTGACTATTCAGTTAAAGAAACTTATTATCATACACTTCACTGGCCAAAAAGGCAGAACGAAAAAGCTAAAGAAAAAATGAATATTAAATAGGAATAAATTTTAAACAAGCTTAACGTACAAAAACGTACTCCACCAAGATGTAAAATTTCTTCAAAGATTTTAAACACATGTTAAGCTACAGTTAAGGGAAGGATATTATTCTTGCTACTTATACAACTATAATTAATGCATAACAATAAGGATGTAATCATAATCCAACATAGCACTTCTTTTAATTGGGTAAAGATTTAGTTCAATTTTTAATAACTTAATAAAAACACATTGTTTTGAACTTTTAATTTTGTAAAGAAACTAAAAAATAAAAACACTTGCTTTAAAACATTGTTTACAAACAAAACAATAAATTAAAAATATATCTAATTTACCTGATTGCCTAGATGTGTGGTAGACTTGTATATCTAGAACATTATCAGGCATTATTTGAATAGTTGTCCTGTTGCCTCCATTAGTTTTATTAGCTCGTTGAATGCTCTTATTATTCCAATCAGTCCAATATATATAATCTGTATACTGAGTTAGACCATAGGGTTCATATATATCTTCACCAATAACTTGAACTCTATTATTGCCTAATAATTTCATATAGAGAAAAAAGAAGATAAAAATTTCCAAATCAAATGGTTAAAATAAAATTTAATTGCATTTTATAAAAGGAATACACATTTTTTTAATATTTCAAATGACATTTATTCTTTTATGCATTTATTAAAATATTTGAACTAAAAGCATTAAATGTACTACAATTCTTAATAGAAACCCATTTTCAATTACCTTGTCCTTTCATGGCAAGAGAAAAATAAAACTCTTTTCTTTAAAGTGACTGTTCAAGCTAATATTATTATTAAAAAAAATCAAAAATCAGAGTTGAACATAAAACTATACTTGAAATATAACAACTATCGCTAGCGCTAGTTGTTTATCTTTTAAGTAAACGCTTCCAAGTTAAATAAAATCAAAGAGCAAGCACAATGGAACTTAGTACATAAGGTGATGAGAGGCCAGATCACACTGTTCTTTGCCAATTTTGCTACCATTTTCTAGCAAAATTGGTTTGCTTCTTCCAGGTTGTTGCAACTTGATTCAGTGGTGAATGGGTACATCGAATAAAGAGGCCATATTTGATAACAAAGAAATTTAATAATAGCAAAATAATAAAAACAACAATATGGTGGTACAGTATTTTTAGAGCTTTCCAATAAGCCATCCATTCTGATCCATTGCCTGCAACACAAGTGAACAATTTTGAGAGATTACAACGCCCACTGCTGGACAGACAGAAATTCGTAACACATCTTTGAAAAAGCAAAAAAGAAAGTTTCTGATATCCTGCCTTCTCTTATCCCAGAAAAAGTACAGAAGAAATATTGCATGTTTTCTATCCGGTTAAAAGGAGTATTTCAGGTTTAATATGTTCTTTTTATTGTTAATCCATAATTTACAAAGTTATGTAGTAAATATTGAAATTCTGAAGTAATTGTTATCCAAGGATAAATTAAAATAAATCATAATTTAAAGTTAATTTGGATTACCAATAGTAACTCTGGTGTGCTAATGGATGTGGCACATATGGTTTCGAAGAAAGAATTGTGACTAATTAGTAATGATTAAAAGTGGTTTAGTTAAAATGTAATGCAATGAATCAATTTCAAGATGAAGTTAAATATATCTTGAATATATTTAAAGTTAAAAACTTAATATCAACCTGATAAGTCTGAAGATTCTAGCTTCCGAGCATCCACATCAATCCAATAGAGACGCCTTTCTAGGTAGTCGATAGTTATTGCATTTGGTCTACCAAGTTTACCAATTAAAACTTTACGATAAGTGCCATCCATTGCAGCTCTTTCAATACGCCCACTTGTGCCCCAATCAGTCCAATACATATAACTGAAATAATATATTTATTAAAATAAATAATAAACTGTCACAATTTGAAAATTAAAAAAATACTTAAACAAAAAAAGGTAGATTTATGAAACACAATAGCCAAGATCTAATAAGAATTCAGAAGGAAAATACTTGCATTGTTACGAAATAAATTAGAGAAAAAAAAATTTTCACATTGGAAATTGATTAGCAACATTTTAAATATTAAAAATTAATAATTTATATAAGCTCAATTAAATGAATGTTCAATAATTAGCAACTACCTATTCAATGAAAAAATAAGATTTTTCAACAAAAAGAAAGTTTTTAACCCTATAATGCAAATAGAACATTGTCCTTTTTATATATTTTTCTTCTGATGCTCAATTACAAGTAAAAATATATTTTATTTTTTTTAATTATAAAAAAAAAGAACAGTCTAATAGATACTAAAAAAAAATCGGTTAATTATCAGAATTATATTTCTATAAACAAAATATAAAAAAGTAGTTTGAAATTTTCTTTCCCATTGATATTCAAAAATTTATCAATAATTGATTTTGAAAATTAAAAAATTTCAATTTATACAGCTTTTCTTAGATATTAATAACTGCAAATTTGACAAAAATATTGTTTGGAAGATTTTACCTTTAAGGCAAAAAAAGAAACTGGTTTTTCCAGCCGTACTTCCTAATTATAAATTATTAAAATGACAATAAATACAAACTTTTCATTTATTTTGTACTGAAATAATACAAAATAATGAAAAAAGTATGAAAAATATATTTAATAATATTACTGCATCAAATGGTTAATATAACATCTTTTTAGGAAATTAAAAAAAAAAAAAAAAACTTGAAGACATACGTTTTTTCTAGCAATCTGATGACTGACATTAAAATAAAAATAAAAAATTGATGTTAATAAGGCAAAAAGCAGAATAGGAAAAAAAGGAAATATAATATGGGAATAAAGTATGAATATAAAATGGCAAAGCAAAACAAATTGGTGTTTAACTGAAAATTAAAAACTCAAAAATGGTTAAGGTATAGTTTTTTGCACCAATATTTAAAAACCAAATATGTTTGAAAATATTAAATTGGCAGTTAAAAAAAAGCTTAATAAAGAGAAAAGGCATCATACCCTTCAGCTGGATCTAAAGCTATTGCTCGAGGATCGTCCATATTTTGATGCAATATAACTTTCCTTGATGACCCATCCAGTCGCACTACTTCTATGCGGTTTAGCCCCATGTCTGTCCAATACAGATTTCGGGCAATCCAATCTACTGCCATTCCTTCAGGATAGTTGAGTCCAATCTGAACAATTACCTCTACGCTGCTTCCGTTCATAAAAGCTCGGTTGATTGTCTACAATAAGAGAAATGAAATACATTAATAACTGTTTTATTAATGAAAATCATTGAATACAATTGATGCTAAATTTGTTTTGCTAAATTTATGCTATATTTATTTTGAAAAAAATAAATATAGCATATGCTAAATTTATTTTGAAAAAAAAAAAAAAAAAAAAAAAAAAAAAAAAAAAAANAAAAAAAAAAAAAAACAATCTCTTACTATGACCTATACATGTGTTATTTTTAATAATAATGTACTATAAACATTAACTTAAAATGTAATATAAGTGAAGCATGTACTAGTTTGTTTTGTGTTATTTTCTCATATACTTAGCCAAGGGTAAAAAAAAGTTTTGCTATGCTGTAGATAATAAATTAAAGCTTCTAGTATATACATGTGTTGCTTCAAACAATAAACATTTTGTGGAGACAACTAATTATTACAGGAAAAAAAATACAGAAGATTTTAGCAAAAAATTTATTTTCTAACAGTTTAACAATTAGGTGCAGCATGCATTAGTTTGTTATTTTTCTTTTATAGAACCAACTGTAAGAAAGTTTTTACCAAACTGTAGAAATGAATTTAAAGTAATATAATTGGATGCAAGATAAGATTTTTTTCCCTTTTTTTGAAGACAAGCCAAATCACTACAGTAAGTTTAAAGCCAGGGAGAACAATCACCTATGCTCATCCAGTAAATCAAAAAACACATAAATCTTTGAATGTTAAAATTATTCTTTGTTACACTATTGCAATTTAAACAACATAGAACAGAGAACTAAAATTACAATAACAAACAATATAAGAAATGAATATATCATGTCACATTTGACAATTTTAATGACACACAATAAAAAAATAAATTCTTAAAAATTAAACATACCCTTTTATTAGTATCAGTCCAGTAGACACGATTATCACTGATGTCATAATCAATTGCATTTGCTTCTTCAACTCCAGATATAGGAATGGCATCATCATGATTAGATTCTAAAGATATCCTTCGTATACTGTCTTTTCTTGTAAATAAAAGAAATGCTTCAGGAACAATGCAAGTCTTATTATCACTAGTAAGTTCTAACCCTATAGGGCAACTACAAGTATAATTGTTATTTGGTCTATTAAGACATAGATGTGAGCAGTTCCCATTGTCATTCGCACAAGGACTGGTACCTAAAACGATGTTAAACATTTCAAAAATTGATAGAAAAAAATTACAATAAAAAATAATCAAGAATCTTTAAGAATTGTTTTATAGAACAATGATGATTGGTTAAAAACTCCAGGTTTAATTTTTTTTGTTTGTTTAAATCACTTATAAAGGTTTTCCAGCTTAGGGGTAAGGATATATGATCCACGTCTACTTAAAATATGATTCCAAAACTATTATAATTTAATCGGTAAGTCTGTAAACAGATCATCTGAATAAGAAATCTATTGGAGATGATCTGTTTACGCTTAGTATTGATTAAAGACCAGTTACCTTTAATTCAATATTTTCAATAATTGCATTGAATATTTAAAACTCTCATACAGTAAGAAAAAAAATATTGGAAATCAAATTATAATACATGATTGAACAGGTAAAAATAATATATGCTTTAATTTGATAGAATTTATTTCGAGATTAGGATGGATTTTTAGAATTTACAAATTATAATGAGGATAACCTGCTAATTGATTATGAACTCAGAATTAAACAAAAAAGATGCAGAGAAAAATATTTTGCTTATTCAAGAAGAAAAAAAAAGTTAAGGCTTAACCAATGTAAAACTAAATGCCATTTAAAAAAAAATAGTCATACCATGTATATCGTTGACATTTATGGCTTTAATGCCCATGACATCATGAAGTTGTTCAATTAAAATTTCTCTATTAACTCCAGTAATTTTGTCGACTCTTTCAATGGAGCGTCGTTGCCAATCAGTCCAATATATGTAATTGCCTAAAGAAAAAGGAGAAGACAATAAAAATTAAACAACTTACAACAGTTATATGCACTTTAAAAAAATACTCGTAACATATTTTGGTGTCATTAATCTAATAACTATTATTTTGAAACAAATTAATTAAAAAAATATGATACTTTTCCATTTCCCTGGCACAATTAAATTCAGCTATTATATTAATTTAGTTATTTATCTTTTAAAATAAAAGATAGCTGTCACCTATATATATATATACATAAAAAACAGTTGAATTTATTTGTGCTTGGAGACTTTATAAATTTTTCCAACAAAATGGAAGAGTGCAAAAAATATTAAATAATTTTAAACTGATCAATTTTAAAGTTTAAGAGTTCTTCTAAAATAAATGAAGCCCCCCCCCCTCATATAGACTTTTCTTGTTGTTGCATGCATGGATTGTGTTAATGCTAATTTTTAGTAAATATTACCCTATTTAATTATTATTACCTTAAGATTTTATCCATTAGTGCAAAATATAATAACACATAGTAAATAAAATAAAAAATAGCACTTACCAAGCAAGGAGAAACCAAAAATGTGAGGCAGTTGATCAGAAACAAGTTCTCTGCGATCACTCCCATCCAGATTTGAGACTTCAATCTTATCTGTTTTAGCATCCCCCCAGTAAAGTTTCCTTTCAACAACATCAATAGATAAGCCATTAGGCCATCCTAAAGATGTGTTTACTAATATTATGCGTTGTGTGCCATCCAAAGCAGCCTTTTCAATTCTGGGATGATCGGGACTCCAATCCGTCCAGTACATGTATCTAGAATTAAATGTAGAATAATTTAAAGAGTGAAGAAGCGAATAATATTTACCTGGGTTGACATATCAAATGACCCAAACAAAAGAAAATTAAGAAGACTAAAAAGAAACAACCCAAGGATGTGTCACTTCAACTATATATTTTCTAGAATAGTTGAATTCATGCCCAGACACACATTAAAAATAGTAAATTTCTAAAATTGAATTAATGTAATAAATATTTAATAAAATTTGTACAAAACAATCAAAGTTTTTCATAAAAAGAAAACCATCTTAGATCAATTAGATCTATTTAATCAATTAAAATTTGACTATTCAGTCAATAATTTATTTTTATAACATTTGAATAGCACTTCACACATATCAGACTAAAAAAATAAGTAAAAAAAAACCTTCTCAATCCAAAAATAAATAAATAAATGGTTGTATTAGATACTTTCACC